ATTGTAATATGGCATTTACTTGTGTGTCAAATAAAATGAAACCTAATGTGTGTGAGAAATAAATTTTATAACAATATTTTCATTATAGATAAAAATATTTGTTTATAAATGGGAACACTATTCAAATCTGGTACGAATTTTGTCAAATACTTTTAAAATCTTAATTGTATATGTTTTTTTTTTTCTCCCAATATGTGATTTAAGTACTGCCAGATATTTTAAGAAAAACGTCTTTTTACAGTAAAAGTTTGGAAAAGAGTAGACTTTTTAAATTTACGAAAGAAATATTAGGAAAAGAAATTTTTTTAAAATTTCAATAATTAAAAATTCAAAAACAGTAAAAATAAAATCTTTATTTAAAGTAAATTACGTAGGTGAAAAGTGTTTTTCACATTAATAATAGAGTAATTGTTTTGTTTTCAATTAAAGATTACTTTGAATATTTATAATAAAATATTATACTAATCAACATTTCTAAATTTATCATTTGAATCCATTATTAATAGAAAAAAGAAAATTATTTGCTTTAGCAAAATATTCTGTGTGTCTATCAATAGTTGTCTAATATTCAATGGATCCCTAGCATAAGTACCTATGATATTTTTGAAAATGTTGCATTGATATCTAAGCAAAATAAGCTGTTTTTCCTTTTAGTAATCAATGATACAGAAGATTATTCAATGCTGGACTCCAACCATTCCATAGATATCTTTTATTCACAAGAAGGACCGTACAAATGTCACTTTTGCTGTAAAACATATCCTTCACGTAAGGGTTTAAGAGCACACTTGAACACCCATTCAAAAGATCGACCATTCGCCTGTGAAACGTGTGGGAAATGTTTTGCCCATCGAGGAAATCTCAATGTTCATGTCAGATCACATGCGGGAGAACGCCCGTTCTCGTGTAATTTGTGCAACAGAGGTTTCTCTTCAAAGCAACGCATGCTGACACACATTGCGTCTCGTCATGGTGGTAACTTTCAGGAATATTCTTCCCATCTATGAATTCTACTTGATCCTGTTTTCGTATGTATGCAGTGTTGACAGTTTTTTGTTTGTTTGTAATAATCTAATTGACTTGTACGAGGAAGTTGATTTTTAAAATTTATTTTATAGTCATTTACTGCTGTTTGATTTATTTTAATTTATTAGATGTCTTTTTTTTTAAAACTTAATTAACGGGATTACTTAGTTCCTTTATTATTTTGTAAATTTTTACTACATGACGTAAAAAGGAAATTGTGACATTAATGTTGTAAAATCTGAACTTGTTTGAACACTGTTTTTGTTATTTAGAGAAGTAACAAGAAATTTATTCACATGTTTTTTTATTATTTTGGCCATTACGAAAAGATTGCCTTGGATTTATTTAGGCCTTGCTAGTAAAGTTAAAGTAAACTTAAAAGAAGAAAAAAATTATTTTCCTCAATTATATTAAAGAAGGGAAAATTTATTAATAGATTAATAAATTATGTCACGACATTTGCTAAAGTTATGCATGGCAGACATGTATTTTAACCAGCAATGCATAGACAATTTAACTAGTTGTAATTCAAAGCCTTTGTTTTTCAAATTCAACTTTTATGTACACCCTCTTTTCTTTTCTACAAAAAAAAAGAAGAAAAAGGAGTTAAATAATTTTGGGTTCCATTCCATTGACTAGAACTTTCCAAATTCGAGCTGCATCGTAAGAAACTTGTTTTGATGAAATTATTTCGCCATTCAAATAAAAAATATAACTTAGGATTGTTAGCAGAATTTTAAGAATTAAAATTTATATATTTTTTCTGTGATTTATATATAACTGTATTATAGAAATTACATATTTATGTAAGAACATATATTGTAAGGTTATATTTGGATTGCATGGCTGGTCTACCCAGACTGTTGAATAACTAACTAGAGAAAATGCTAAAAAGCTTCTTAGCAAGCTTCATAAACCAATTATTCTTGTACTTGTACACATATGTGTGACTCTATGTATTGTATATTGTAATAGTTAAGTAGATTTCAATTATGGACTTGAATTATTCAAAATGTTATCAGAAGATTAGAATAATGTTAAGTATTCCTTAGCTATCTTATTTGATTGAAATTTAGTTTATTAGAAATTTGTTTAAATATATCAAGTTTGGCATGTTTCTTATATTTTGTTTGATAAAGAATTTATTAATTTGACAAAAAAATACACTCCTTTTAAAAAAGTTTAACAACTCCAGCCATTATATTTATAGTTTATTCCTATAACATGTTCATTATTTTAGTGAAATAACATAAGAACTATGATAAAATTTTAAGAGTTCTGTATGAAATGTTTTCAGTTAATGGTGATAATATTAATAAAATATCACTAAGCAATTTTAGCATAATTGTATCTCTTATCTCTTACAAAAACTAATATCTCTGTTACTTATGTATTAAATAATATCAGTTGATGGTTATAGTAGCTAAATAATTAAAAGCAATCATTAGATTTAAGTTTGAAAGCGCTTAAAAACATTCAGTTATTTTACTGTCAGAAACTAAATAAAATCAATTTATCTCCGTTAAAAATGTATCTTGACCCATAATAATACTTATTAAAAATATCTGCATTGTTTGACTTAGTCTAATAAAAGCTGTATTTTTCTTGCTGTCTTGGTATTTCATAAGCTTTGTTGTATTGATAGACAATATTGTATTATAAGAAAGATTAATGCTATATAACCATGAACTATATGAGTTATGGTATTGAATTATGAGGCTTTCTTGACTGTAAATGTATTTGGCATTGCTTTTTTTTCTTCCTTTTTTAAAAATAATAAAATTTTTGTACAAGAAATATTAAATCTATAGGGTTTCTAAGCCACAGAAAAATTAAAATTGGCTTTAAAATCACAGGGAAAATAAAAATATTCATTAAATTGTATGAGTTATGGTATTGAATTATAGGATTTTCTAGACTGTAAATTTATTTAGCATTGCTTTTTATTTCTTAATTTTTTTAAAAAAAAAAGCAACATTACTGTACAGTGCGCAAAAAAATCCGAACCACCCTGAATAACTTTTGATCTAATGATCGGATATTCACGTTCTAAGACTCAATCTTAATTGCTTGATGGGATGACCTCAAATATGCTAATTAATAACTGAGGACCTTAATTTAAGTAAAACACAAAAACCTATTATCTCTGAATAGACATATCTTTTTTTCCCGACGGATTCAAACTTCTAAACCCCAAAATATAGGAGGCAGCCGCTATTTGAGAAATATGGTCCTAATAGTTTGATCCGGAAAGCAATCAAGTTTGGACTCCTTAATGTCTATATCTCTTGAATTTTTTAAGGGATTTGAAAAATTTTTGCACTGATTTATAAAATTTGTTAACCCAAATATAATTCCATGCAAAAAATAACTTAAAAATAGTAAATATTTATTATAATTTTTTTGTGAAGGTCGAAAAAATTTTGAATTGCAAAGCATAAAATTTTTTTGCATCATTTTAAAGAATATAATTTTACATAGCAAATTACAAAATTTGACCAAAATTGGTGAGATAATTCCTGAAAAATAGAATTTTAAATATCTGATTTTTTTTTTTGAAAAAATTCAATTTCAACCAATTTTGCTCAAGTTTTGTATTTTGCCATGCATAATTATATTCCCTTAAATGATGTAAAAAATTGTATACTTTACTATTAAAAAATTTTTCGACCCTCATTAAAAAAAATAATAAATATTTACTAAAAATTATTTTTTGCATAGAATTATCATTGGATAAATGTATTTTATAATTCTATGAGACAGTGTTTCAATTCTCTTAAAAAGTTCTCTAGATATAGAAAAATATGCAAAAAGGTCAAATTAACATTAAGAGATCCAAACTTAGGAGTGCTTTCTTGACCAAACTCTTGGGACCATATTTCCCAAATGCCGGCCAGAGCGGTTAGCGTGCCTGACTGTGAAACCAATGGCTGCGGGTTTGAATCCCTCTGAGGGCATGGATGTTTCTCCCTGTGTGTTGTTCTCTATTGTGTGAATGTGGCCCACCCTATAAAGCGGGTATCTGTGGCGTTAGTAATGTTGCTTGCCTCCGTGACTTAGGTTCATAGGTGCCCACTGGGTAACGTTAAATGAGTAATACTTCCGACATCTTCCTAGGCGAAGAACGTAAAAAGTTCATTGCCGCCGTTAAAGAAAAAAAATTATATTTCTCAGATTGCTGCTATTTTTCCGTGTTCAGAAATCTAAATCCGGCCAGGAGAAGGTATGTTTATTCACAACGTATGTTTTTGTGTCTGATTTCATAACTTAAAATATCATATACACTATTTAATTAGCATACTTTAGATTAACCCCTTGAGCCAATTGAGATTGTGTCCTAGAACGTGAAGATTCGATCATTAGATCAAAAGTTATTCAGGGTGGGCCGTTTTATTTATAATTATAATTTTTTTTTGGTGCACTATACAAGAAATATATCTGTAGCATTTCTAAGCTACTGGAAAATGGAAATTGGCTTTGAAATTGCAAGGAGAAATAAAAATATATTTATTGAAGCATAAAAAAATTATTTTAGGTTACCTGAAATAATTAAATTTTAACAGAAAATTTACCACTACTTTGGTTCTTATTTTGGCTACTCTACTCTACTACTACTAGAGCTACTCTGGGCATTTCGTGTTAATCTGATGTTCATTATCAGTGATCCTGCTGGCACATGCGACCACAACATTTCTACAGTTTTGATCAGAGGGCTTGTTGTGTTACTGCCATATTTCGTAATCGTGCTTTGACTATTAAATTGCATTGTAGTAGTGGACTCCAAATATTAGGGCACATTAGAGATTGTGCATTCTGATTGGACACCAAGTCATCCTCAAGGGATCTCAATCTATGGTTGGCAAAGACTACAATTGCATTGATTTTGCTTTAATTGATTTTCTAAATAATCTGTTATTTGTTTTCAATATCCATTAAAATTGATTATAAATTTTGGTTTAATTCTTGAATCAATTATGTGTTCAAATAAACTTTGTTATTTTCCAGAAAAGATTGTTTATCAGGATAAATCTATGGTCACGGAGAAATCTAGTCACAGAGGTTCAATATTGGAGCTATCGGCAATTCCACAGTTTTCTGAAAATCCACTCCACGTATGCAATGTGTGTGGTAGATGTTTCAATCGCAAATCAAATCTGAAAGTCCACATGAGAATTCATAGTGGTGAAAGGCCATTTCAGTGTCCAAAGTGTAATAAAAATTATTACACTAAACAACAGATGCAAATTCATTATTCCAATTATCATATGAATATTTCAAATGTGAATAAGTAATTTTTGTGAATATTTTATATCTTTTTTATGTTGTAAATAGTTACATGCTGTGGGTTTCCGACTATCGGGTCTTGTAATAGTGAGGAATAATAAAACTGGTGGTTTGTAAAGATTGTTTTGAAAGGTGAATGATCAAAGGATTCTATGATTCTTAGGAGGATTTTAAAGTGATCACATTTTTACTCTTCCTAGTCATAGCTTTCCTTATTTGTGTTGTTTATTAATAAACATTAACTTTTTATGTATGAATAATTTATTTTAAAATGTGTAACATGTGTTTGAACTATATGGGAGAAGAGATTGGAAGTAAAATTTCGTCTTTAACATCTAATTCATTATCCTCCCTATGCTTCCCCCATATTAGACCTGATAGTTGAGAGCCTTACTTTGAGGAAATGTTACAAAGTTCTTCTAAATTTCATTGTGCAAAGGGTTCACAATTTATAAAACTCTTGAACATTTGATTATTAATCAGGCTTTTAAGTAATTTATTTTTAAATTTTGTTTTTTATATTTTGAAAAAATGATGAACTTGTGAATATAATATATCCAAAATCTTAGAAAGAAAAAAAATTGTTTGAAACTGCCTTGCAAATATTTATTAGAAATAAGTACGATTTTTAAAAGAGCTTAAATTTTATTGTATAAATGATTCCAAAAATTCTTAAAATTAAATAAAACTTCTTAAACTTGTAAAATTATTGGACTGATAAATCTTTAATAATTCAGTTATAAAGTTTTTATAATTGGTTTTATTTAATGATAATCTAGCCAAACATTGTAAAATATTATTGAATCAAAATAAATTCTTATCAAATACCTGTATTATTGATAATGAATTATGTAATATTGTATCTTTCAATATATCATACTTTCTTTATTTTGTTCCAGCCAGTAATTGACGTAACCAAAGATTATTGTATTTGTGTAAAGGTAATTTTCTCACAGCGTAAAATTTGATCCAATGAACAGAAAGAAAATTCTGCATTTTTTAAAAGCATATTTAATTTTAAATTAGGGGTTAATGTGTATTTTACAAGTCTCTAGTAGAAGGAAAAGGAAATTTTTGTGTTCCGCTATAACTAGTTCAAAGAAAAAGCCATAACTGAACAAGAAGTTTGACAAACACAATGTGTGACAAATCAACATTTGGAAGATACCTTTTTAATCAATTAACGTGATATTGATATTTCAGTAAAACTAAAACAGTTTTAAAATTTTCATTAAGTCTTGTTCATTCTTTTTGTAATGTGAATAATATATTTTGTATTGTAATATTGTATTGGGTTGGCAACTAAGTGTCCACTGTTTTCTTTCCCTTTAAAATTTCACATTGAGTATTTTGGCCTAATGTTTTAAATTATTTGAGAGAGATTGTTTTGTTACATTGGAATTTATGTTTGGTCTTTTTGTTCTATTTAAATCTATGTTAATTTTAAAGATCATTAAAAGAAATGAGTGACACCTTTTTTGTTTTTTAATCAATGTTCTGAGGATAACAACTGACATTTGTGCTGTGTCTGGAAGTTGATGCCATATCTAAAAAAACTGCTTATGTATGGTATGCTAAGTTTAAAAAGAAATTTTAAACTCAATGACCGCTCAGTTGATTTCGATGATCTATGTATTGAAAATTTTGTTGAAGGTTACAGACATCGATCAAGAATAAATTATCGGTTAATTAGTTGTTAATTCTTATGGAGAAATTAACTATAAGGTATTTTAGAAAATGACAGGAACTTATTTCCCCACCCTACAGTTATGTTAAGTATCTCAATATATTTCGTTTGATTTGTTTGAGACAAAAACAAAAAAAACTAAAATTGATTCTATTCTCATTTTATTTCCATTTTAAACAAAATATTGTAATAAAAATTAGTAAAACTATGGAAAATTAACTTATCATATTTCTGATTTTTTTTTCTCCTTAAATTACCTAGTATATGTAAGGTTCATGTTTTTTTCTGAATTTGTGATCCTCTGATGCAAAAAAAAGTTGGAGCCCTACTTTATATCATATGGTATATGGGAATGAAAGTTAATTGTGGTATGATGAACAAGTTTTATATAGCTGGGGATTTGATTCATATTCTCTAATGAAATTTTATTATTCTAATTTATTTTGAACTTTTTGTTAAATTTATTTACTATAGATTTTAATATTTATCATATACCTACCACTAAGGTTCCGATTTTGATGACATTTGGATTTTTCATATTATTAGACCTATGGGGTATTTTTAAGATTTTTTAGGGCAATTTTTTGAGTTTTTGGGGTATTTTCTTCATTTTATGGTTTGTTTTTTAAGATTTTTTTGGTAATTTTTTTTTAATTTTAGGACATTTTTTAAAATTTTTTAAAAATACTAGCTTATTTTTAGAATTTTTCCATATTTTAACTGAGTTATATTATTATGTATTACAACTTGCATATATTCTTTTAAAAATGATTAAATATTTGATGCCTGATAAATCCACACTACATTAATAATTATTATATTATAACTCTAAACAAAATATTTCATTTTCAAGTTAGTTTTTTTTTTTTTTTTTTTTTTTTTTTAATTTCAAGGGTATTTTTTTGCTATTTTTGAAGGGCATTTTTTGCTGTTTTTACAGGCATTTTACAGGATTTTTTTTTAGGTCATCAAAATCTGGGCTTTTCATTCAGTTGGTGTGTAAGTTTGATGTGAAAGTATTAGGAAAATGAGAAATTGTTTGTTTTAGATAGTTAATGTAATTAAATATTCTTCAGCTCTATAAAAATTTCTGTGCATTGTAGTCAAAATGTTAATAAAATTATGTGTGCTTGTAAAATGTGAAATGTGATGAAAACCAAAACCTATTTACATTGGTCAATAAACTTGTACCTTTATTATATCTTATTCATTTTTAATGCTATTTTGTCATAATTTTTAGCTGCATTTAGAAATATTTTTATTATAAATTGTTTCAACACCTCAGTTTATTAGTTAATTTTTTTTTCTTTAAAAAAAATGGTCTTAAAATAATGTTGCATTCTTTTTTATTAATTTAACATCTTTTGTTTATTTATTTTTTTAAGAAAAACAAAATGGTCAAACAGTCTTAAAATAATGTTTTGTTCTTTTTATTTATTTATTTAAAAAATAGTGTCACATTTTAGAGACTGTGTCAGTATGTTTAATTATAGTTTCTTGTTAATTAATTTTTAATTGATTATGATTTTTCTAAAGTCTTGAACATTTTTTTTTTATCTCCAATAAGTTTAATTGTTTTTTGTTTTTAAAAGTAATTGTTTGTTTTTTCATAACTTGAGTTTAAAAAATCTTTAAAAATTATTTAGGTGCTGCAGAACAGATTCAAATTTTGAAAAATATTGTAAGTCTCTGAAAATTAAAAAATAAATCGGAGCTATTGTAAATGACACCAAAATTTATTTGAACTGCTTCAATCTATTCATTTGTATGCAAAAGTCATAATGAAATATTTTGTCTGTCTTTGCAATGATCAATGATTGAATTCAGTTATAAGTTTATATGGATAACTTGGGCAAAATTTCAATCTCAAAATAAAATAAAGCAGTGTAAATAAATTTTAAAAGATATTATTCTCAGTGTTTTAACATTGTTGATATATTGAATACAACACTAAAAAGGAAGAATTGATGAGGCATATGGTTCATGAATATTTGGTTAGGAACAAACATAATTAAAATTCAATAAAAAAAATCAAAAGCCACTGTTAGTAAAATGTATTCAATGGTTTGCTAACAGCAGTGGTGGCGCAGGGGACAGAGCATTCGCCTTTCAATGAGATGAACCAGGTTCGAATCGCAGTGATGACTGCTCGATTTGATTTCCGCACCCGGCTTGCACCGACCACAGTGCTGATGTGAAATATCCTCAGTGGTAGAAGGATCGTAGAACCATGGGAGATTTTCATGGTTCTCCTCCATGTCACGCAAATGCAAGTTAGTTCCATCGAAAAGTCCTTCACAAAGGCAAATTTCTCCCAATCCAAGAGTTCCCTTGTCATCTGGATTGGGTTCAAAATTACTAGGCTACAGAGTTGAACATTAGTAGTTATAAACCAAAAAAAATTGGGTCGGCTGCCCAACGACGGTTATAAAATAAAATAAAATGGTTTGCAAAAGTCAACATATTTTGTAGGTCATTGCAATGATCATGCATGAATTCAGTAATTGGATTATTTATAACTTAAGCAAAAAACATAACTTTTAACAAAAAATGAACAAAAATTAAATCTCAATTTAAAATTTTTTCTTTTATAGGTAACCCCGTTACCAATGATGTTTCAAATTTCTTTGGCTTTAGCCCTTCTCTCCATGAATGCAGAACTTGCAAGAAACTATTTTCCAGCAAATCGAGTCTGATCTTGCATTCTCGTATACATACAGGAGAGCGACCTTACATTTGTGAACAGTGCGGCAAAAGGTTTGCTCAAAAAGGAAATCTGAAAACTCATATGCAGAGTCACGCAGGATTGAAACCATTTCCATGTCAGTTGTGTGGCAAAAAATTTGCATCAAAGCAGCGTCTGTCCATTCACATGACAACTATACACGAGCAGTGAACTCAGATTTGAAGAAAGTAGTTATATTTGTGTTAGAGTGTAATAATGTAGAAAACAATGTCTAGAGCACAAATGAATGAGTAAAAAATTAACTATTTTGGTACTATAACGAGGCACTATGTGTCAAGGTGTGGTGAAAAATTCATAGAATTTACCTTCAGTTTTTTTACCTGGTTTTTATTATTTTTTTTTTTCAATCTTTTCCTTATTGGTCTATTTTTTCTTCCTTTTTACGCCTTGTCTTGTTGTCAAATGGCTGATTCTTTAATATTTCTGTATACTCCTTGTTATGAATCGATTGTGTAAGATTTATGTAAATCCAATTCGATCCTCCCTTTTTTGGTATAATTTATTCATGTTTACTTTTTGTTGCAAATTGTTTGACTGAGTAATATTTCTGTGTATCTTTTCTGTCTATACAATTCAATCCTTTCTCCATTAATTTATTTTTGCATTGTTTACTCTGTTGCAAATCAATTGTGTAATATTTCTGTATATCCGATTCGATCATCTCTTCATTGTTCTATTTACTTAATGTTTAATTTTCTTTGCAAATCCATTGATTGTGTAATATTTCAGCAAATCTTATTAGTATGTGACTCAGCACTGATGTTTATGCTTGTTTCAAGTATCGAAGTGACTGCATAGATTTTTATTTGTGCTCTACACATTGTTTTACTAATTATAAACTCACATGATATTACTTATTCCATTCATTCTGTTTTAGTATTCAACAATACTAGTATGCACTATCAACTAATTTTTATTTTCTGTGTAATTTAATCTATGTCTTGTTTTCATTTCTTCAGTTTTTTCTTTTTGCAATAACTTTTTTTCAAAATATTTTTTCTCCTAAATTTTACCATCATTTAATATAATTTAATTTAATAAAAATAATTTTTAATCTTTTCTGAATTATATCCAAATATTGTTTAAGTTTTGCACTCTTGTATCTTTGTCAAATATTGCTGCCAAACCCTCTTTATCTGTGTATTTTTAATAATCAATTAAAACAGAAATTCCTTTTTTCTTTAGAATATTCTTAAACTAGTTTCACACTTGATTTAAAAAATTGAATGAACAATGGTGTCAATAGAAATTGCAGTTTCTTTTTATTAGTCTTCATTTTGAAAATGAATTTAAAATTAAGAGATTTTTCATTTAAATATTTTTATTTGAAATGCTTCATATTTTTGCTGCCACTTTTTAAAGAATGTACATGCCCTGTTCACCACAAAAAGATACACAGTATTACTCACTATGTTATGTTTCTTATTAGTTCGTACCGTTTTTGATAGTTTATATGGTAGAACTTAAACGATTGAGTTACTTTCTGAATATTGTGTGCGAAATAGTGCTGTTAAATCTCTTTTCATTTAGTTTTCGTCTCATCACCCATCATGAAATTCTTATAAATCCTACTTTTTGAACTATCAATTAAAACTGCTTATTCTCAATAGCTTATCATTGACTTTGCTTAGCATTTTTAATAAGTGCTTAAAGGTGCTTATTCTTGATTTACGTTTTTTGAAAGTCCTTCAAATGTGTATTTTTTTATTTGGGGTTTGTAAAAAATTTCTTAATTTTCTCTTTTAAATAGAGACTTTTTCTTTGTCATTAGTTGATAGTCATTAGTTACAAAAAAGCATTATTTTCACAATTTTCTCTGCAATATTTATCAAAAACTAGTTATTTTATCATGATTATCTAAAGTTTTTGAAAATGTTTTTGCATTTTGTTGATTTTATGTTTATAAATTTAAAACTTCAAACACTAGAAAAAATTTTTTTTTTATTACTTCACATATTATGATTTTTTTTTTTTTTTTTTTTTTTTTTTTTTTTTTTTTTTTTTTNTTTTTTTTTTTTTGGAAAGTGATTAAAAATATTTATGGAGTGCTTAAAAGATGCTTATTTTTTGTTGAAAAATCTGGCTACGTACCCTATCTTAGAATAAAATCTTTTATAATCCTTGAAACTTTGTCAAATATTTGATAATTTTTAAAAAATTTAGTTTGCTTGATTTACGAAAATGAAATTATTATTTTATCTTGAAACTAGCACATAATTGTATTATATGTTTAGGGGAAGACCTTTTTGACAAACACTGAATTTCTTTAAAAAGGAAAAGCTATCTTTGGATGTAAACCTAAAATATTTATCTTCCCAAATCTTCTAACTAGCAAGTTTTCAATCAATAAAGGAGTTTTGTGAATATCTTTCAGATACATCTATTTATTCTATTACATATTTTATCATAATGAAAAGACATTTATCAAGTTTTCCAAATGCTTATCTCTTTATATCTGACAAGTATTAATTAATTAAAAATCCATTTTATTCAAGTATAGTTTTAGTCTGCATTTTTCATTGATCTTTTAAACTAAACAAGAATTTTTATCCTCTCCCTTTCTTTTTAAATTGATATAATTTATATCAACTTTAAGGAAAATATAAATCTTTTTTTCAAATGTAATTTTATTTCATTTTATTTTTAAATTGTTAATTCGTATGAAGTTATTATAAAAAATGTTAAATTGCATGAAGTTATTAAATAGAGCTAAAACAATTTGAAAAAAGCACAATTGTCTCATTAATTGTGTATTATGTGATTTTATAAATTGTGCTTTTAAAAAGAGTACCAATAAAATGAAAAATCTCCAACTGATGTGCTGTTTTCATGTTTTAGCTTTATTCATACGCAGCACAAAATTCTTTCTTTACTGAAGTAATAATTGTAAATTCATTTATGTTGTTGAATGTTTGCTGTAAAATGGATTTTAAAAAAATTAATTTTTTGAGTATTGAAATTTTAAATATGACTCCAAATTGTGTATTGCATATTGGAATAAAAAAAAGAAATTAATTTGATCTTAAGTTTGTGCAAGGTACAAAAATGGGGAGGAAGGGCGAAACTAAGATTGTTAAATTTAACAGCGTAATTACGCAGGCAATAGTTTTTGGTTTTTAATAGTGGTACTGAACCAATTTGTAAATTGGGTGGTTGGAACTCGAATTGCAGCCACCTCCTCGTGGTGAGTTCTGGGTCATTTCATAGAAAAAAATGTGAAATGGGCGAAGAGCTGCATGGTGATTTAGTAATTTTTCAGCATATAAAGCTTATAAAAACTTAATTAAGGCATCTTCTGTTTCTCTAGTTGAAGATGAATAAAGAGATGATGTGATGACCTGCACCTAACTTCTGTTTTCAGGGTTCATGAGGGTTCTGGAAATCTGCACTGAAGTTTTAATTCATGGAAATATTTACTGGGCCCTTGGGAAAGTTTCAGTGTTCATGCAGGTTTTTAAAATTCATAAAAAAATTTTAGTTCATAAAATTGTTTTTGGGTCTTAAAATTTCCAAATTCATATAGGTTTTTAAAGTCATTATAGAAATTTTTATTTATGAAAACTTTTTAATGTCCTTAAAAATTTTCAGGTTTCTTATAAATTTTTAAAATCCATAATAAAATTTTTAATTCATTGAAGTGATTTCAAAGGATTTAAAAAGGTAGTCTTATTTTTGATTCCCAATTTTTCTAGTTCTTAATAATTTATCTTAGGTAAAGATGTTTGTACTCATCGATAAATGAATGTGGGTCAATTCAAAATGGCAACCTCAGACTTCTTTTTTTTTCTTTAAAAAAAAAAAAAGAATGTTTTAATATACTCATTTTAATAAATGATTTAAAACTTTTTTTAATAAAATGCCACTATATTCCTTTTCAAATGTATTAATTTTAATAATTTTTTTATGGTTTTTTAGTGGGTGGAAAATGCAGTGTAAGATTTTTTTAAATTGTTCAGGTTGATTTGCACAGAAATACACAATTTTGAGTCTTATCAGAATTTTATGCTCAAAAAATCACTTTAACTTTTATCCTTTTTGGTAAGGTAAAATTAAGTTTATTCTAAATTAAATACTGATTTTTCGAATAATCAAAAATTTCACTAGCAAAATTAAAACAGATCAGTTTTGGCATATAATGTGTAATTGTTGATATGTACAGTTCATCTTGGCACAAATATGGGGGGAACGAGAAAATTTTATTAGCTACCAGTACTAGAATGAAATGATGAATGTTAAAGCAATCATTTGCTACCAATCCCCCTTCTAGTCTGCTATGTGCAAAACTTTTGAAAATTATATGTTTCAACTCTTTCTTGTCATAATTTTTCATATTTGTATAGTTTATTAATAAATGGTAAGTACTTTTGCATTAATCTTTTATCTTCAGACATGTGTACATTACATGGGAGACATGGTTTTAAGTGGAATTCCTTATTATCCAGGTTTTTGTTACCAGGCCTACCCTTCCCCCAGTTTACACAGAATAGTTAGGAGCAAACTGTATTTAAAGTTTAGGTTTGCTTTTGCGTACTTCGTAAATGATTTAATTCAAACATTTTTTTTCCAGACGATGCTTTCTCAGATGTGCCAATTCCTTACTTTAGTTCCAATTCCGATTTTCCAGTGTGTGATATCTGTGGTAAAATGTTTTCAGGCCACTCCATGCTCCGACGTCACTACCTCACACATACCGGTGAACGCCCTCATGCTTGTGGAAGTTGTGGCAGAAGTTTCTCACAAAAATCGAGTCTTAAGAGACACATGGTGACTCATACAGGAGTGAAGCCATACCCATGCATTCTGTGTTCCAAAAGATTTTCTCTAAAACAACATTTGTTGTATCACATAGCTTCTCAGCATAACAATAGTTTTAAGTAAATTCTGTGGGCACTTTTGTGAAATCCCCTCAGCCATCTTCACCAAATCAGAGCTGATTGTGCTCCGGAAAAAATCCGGATTCCCGGAATTTTCGCTAACAGTGATCCGGAAGTTTCCGGAGATCAAATTTTCAAAGGTGGAACTTAAAAACACAGTTTATTTTATTTGTTTGTAAGAGAGAGCCAGAGAGATACTTTATAAGCTCATATTCATGATTAATATTCATTTTTTATCAGTAAATCGTTGTTATAATCATAAAACTCAAGAAAGAAAGACGTATTTGTAAATTATAATTACTTATCCAGTTCATCATAGGTATGTGTAAATGGTATAGGTATGTGTAAAGTTTTAAACATATTTTAAGTAAACTAAGAAAAAGGAAAAAAACCTTGTTTGCATTTTTTTTCTATTTTTTCAATTTAAACTGTTTGATTTTTTTTTTTTCTCTCAAGAAATTTTCCGGAATTTTGACTTGGGCTCACAATCACCCCTGCCAAATTCAAATATATGTTCACTTTTATTTCGGCATAATCTTGCATCGCAAAGTTTTGTAATCATATTGTTTAAAACACTAATTTCAACATCTTTTAAAATTCCCATTGAATATGCACTGGTTACAATTGCCTTTGTGGTCGACGGGATTTTACACAAGTACCATTCTGTGCCTCATAAATATATAAATGAATTTTAAAAAAAATGAAAGTTAATTGGAAATTCATTTGAAGATAAAATTTTTTTTTTAATTTGTTAGTAAAGTTGGAAGTAACAAAATTATATAGAAATTTGCATAAAGGCTTACATAAACTTGTAACAACGCCACTCAATAGTGTCATCATAAAAATCTTTTAAAAGTACCAGTGTGAGGTGCTAATTGTAGTGTTGTATTTATAAGACTGATTTACATATTTCTGATTATTTGAGTTCAGCATCCTCTAGAAACGCAAAAATTAAGTTTTTTTTTTTTTTTAATAAATAAAAGAAATCCTTTTGGAGAAAAAACTGCTTCCAGATTTACAAACCATTTTCATTGTTTTGAATTTCAAAATTATTTGACCTATTAATTATTAAATTTATTTATTAATTGTTATATTTGATATATTAACTTTGTGTTCTTTATTTTATGCTATACCCAGTTGACAGAGTTTGATTTATAAATTTGGAATTATATTAGGTATCCTATCTATTCTACAATTAAAATATGTTGTTAATGTGTGTAAATAGCAGCCCCTGTAATTAATTGTTTAAGCTTTATTTATATTAGAATTTTTTAAATCTTTTTTTAAAGAACTTTTATCTGTTTAGAGGATTTGTAATGCACTAACATATTGATTATTTTTGGCATTTATTTCAAGTAGATCATTTTCAGAAAGCACTCTTTTCAATTATTTTTTCTCTTCTGTACAAAAATTTTCATTCTAAATAAAGTATATATTTTTATTTTGCTGTCTATATAGCTAAATTATTAATGCTTATAATCATTCTCCTAATACATCATATTTTTCCAGTAATAATATAACTATTGATAAACAGCTTTGCCCAGTTTTGTATTTGACTGTAATGCTGACCTGTAAATCTGAATATATATCTCAAAGCACTATATTTTATTCAGTTGACTATTTAGCAGAGTCTTAAAGTCTTCAAATACCTCAGATATTTTCTGACAATAATATAATTCTTGACAAACTGCCTATCCTAGTTGTGAATTTCAGAATTATGCTTTCTTTCATGTCCATGTAAGTTTGAGTACATTTGCTAGAGTTCTTCATTTCACTTTAACTATCTAATTTAGCCCAACTATTTACCTGTTCAGTATTCTGATCACATATCAAGGAATTCTCCCAGTTCGCAGAGAGCCGTTTTGTTTCTTACAGTCCACGAGCACACTGATGTGATCTCAATTTGGTACTCTTGTATTATGTCTTGTATTAGTATGTCTTGTATTAGTATGTCTACGTGCTCATGAGTTTGTACACTCTTGAAGTTTGCGAATCTGGAGAAGTGCTTCGTTCTCCTTAAAATCTTGTAATGCTGTAAAATCTTCTAATACAGTAATACTTAATACTGTATAGTTATTTTCCAGCATGAATCCCTATCCCAATGGCAGATTTGACAATATTATCTTCCATATCCGTGTACAAGTTGAGCAACAAGAAAGTCCTGAAGTCAAGTATTGAGACTAATTTATCTCTGTGAAGTGATTAACTGATAATCGAGTCATTTTTGATTAAAATTGTTTTCAATTAGTTATTATAAATATTTTTTTAAAATGAGTTTTACTTTAATTATAAAACTAAAGTTTATTAAAAAACTTTTTTAAATTTTTTTGAAAAGAATTATTTTATTCATTAAAATTTTTTCATTTATCTTATAAGGTTCTAGACTGAAATACAACAGGTAAATAAATAAACAAAATCTAAATAAAGTAAATAAATAAACAAAATAAGTAAAATATTTAAAGAAATGTGCTGTTTGGAAAAAGGAGTCTTTAGAGAAATATCTTCAATAAAACATACTAATTTTTTTTGTTAAGAAATAACGAGTAAATAAAGTTAAAGAAATTATGGCATTTGCCAATGGAATGGCTATATTTGATTACATTGTTGAATTTCTTTTAGTAAATTTTTTAGTTAGAGCAATTGATATTTTCATATCCTTCAAATGAATAAAATTTTATTTAAGACACGTGAATGAGATCTCATTATTTTATTATTTAAATTATCATTTAAGTTTGGTTTAAAGGTATACATATGAAAAAATTGAAATAAATAATATTTTATCTTATTAAAGTATGTCAAAGTATCATTTGTTTAAAAAAAATCTTAATTTTTTAAAAAAATTTTTTGCAATTGTGAATTACAATCGAATAAAAATGTTTGAGATTTTTCGTTTCGAATGACATTATATATATATTTTCTCTTATATTTTAGGACACTCTTATTTCAGTGAGGTTTCAAACTCTAGTCTAAACTGCTTCAATGCTGGCTGTCTACATGTGTGCAATGCCTGCGGCAAACAATTCCAATCCAATGCCAGTCTTAAAATGCATTCTTTCATACATACAGGAGAAAAACCTTTTTGTTGTAAACAATGTGGTAAAGGTTTCAACCAGAAAGGCAACCTTAAAACTCATATGAAGACTCATACTAAGTTTAACACATTCTGCACCTAATCTTTACATAATAATTTTATTAAAGTAGTGTATCTTGTGTCATGAAGCTTAAAAAACATAATCAATAGTACTTGGAAATTTTTTGAATTCCATAATTTATTTCAGAATGTTAGTTTCATTGGTGCTCTGTGTTCTTAACCCATGTTTTGTCTAATGTTTCATTGTAGATTGCTTTAACCCTCTGTTTGTGGCTGTTAGAACTGATAAACAAGAATAGATATTATAATGCTAAGCATCATAAACAATAGCTTAACTTTACCCCAAAATACAGCATCTCTTAGATTTTATGATAGAAACTCTTATTTCAAAGGTTTATATCTTAATATTATTAATCTATGCTATAGATTTATGTATATTATCGCAAATATTTCATGTTAAGAACCAATGCTATAACATGCACTTTTGTTTGTAAAGAATGTGGTGAAGATTTTATACAGAAAAACAACCTTAAAACTCATATGAATATTAGATTCAAATTTAACTCTTCTGTGTGTATTTTTTGGTTCACGAAGCTTGTTTTTTAAGTTGTACACATTGTGCCATGCAGCTGAAAAAACGTTATCAGTAGTTGAGATATTGGCTAGGATTATATAATTTATTTTAATATTTTATTGTAACCTTATTCAACTGTAGTTAAGTGTTTCTAACCTATATTTTGCCAGATTTTTCAATGTGGATCACTTTTACCCTTAGCATACAGCTGGTTTTACAACAGATGGGCCAGAATGACAGGTTATCCTGTTAAACCCCATACGCAAAAGGTTAACTTTACCTGAAAATATAGAGTCTATTAGATTTTACATGAATCCTTATTTCAAAGTTCTTTTGCAATAAGAGTTCTTCATGTCCTCTTTCCCTAGTGTAGTCTCCATTCACGTTGTAAATAATTCTTATGGAAAACTGATGCAGGAAAAATGTCCTTTTAGTTGTGATGAATGTTTATCACATTCATACAGTCTTTAGTCTGGAATACAGTCTTTATCTGGGTTTAATGCAAACTTAAACCCAGATAAAGACTTGTATGAAGTTGAACAAGTTCAACTTATAAAATTTTTGCATTTGAATTTAACTAGATTGATATAACTTTACTCCAAAATATAATATTCATTACATTTTGTTTTGAGAATTTAAGAGTTTTTGTACTTCGTCTTCATGTATACAATGTCTTTGTTTATGCTGTTATGAAAGCCAAGGCCAAAAAGCTTACTAATCTATTGAGAAAAATGTCTACTTGATTATAGAGAAAGATTTCCGGTACTCAGAAACCCCATTTAAAAATTTATGTTAAGTTAAATATTTGTTTGTATTTGAAGTTCTTGTTTAAGTGTTTTGTATTATGTGCTAGAGTTAAAAATAAATTTCACTAATTAAGATTTTATTATAGTATCTCAATATATCTATATTACCAATAGCTGATTTTATTTTTTTACTCATTTCAGAAGTGTTTGTAATATAGATTGTCATAACTTTCACATTAAAAGTAATATCTGTTATTTTTATGTAGGGATCACTCGTTTTGGGGACATTTCGAACTCTGGTCATGGCTCTTACTTAAACAGTAGTCCTTATATATGTAATGTGTGTGGTAGACATTTCGCATGGAAAGCCAATCTCAAGATACATTTGCTCATACATACAGGAGAACGTCCATTTTGTTGCACAAAATGTGGCAAAGGTTTCACACAGAAAGGAAATCTTAAAACACACATGAAAGTTCACAAATGAATTTGTTTTTGGTGTTTGTAGTAAAGCTTCTGTGTGCATATTATATTCTGTACTTTGCATCCTATAGCCTAAAAGATATCATTAAATGTTCAAGTATTGTTTAGCATCTTGTAACGCATCTTTCACGTGTAACCATTTTAGTTAATACTTTCAACTTGTGTGTTCTGATCGATTCAGAATCATTAAATTCTCATCCTGCAATAAATATTAAATGAAGCTAAGAGTTCTTAACCCATATTTAACTGCATTTTTCTAAATAGTTACTTCACACAGAAAAAACTTTAATTTTTACTATTTTTTTGTCTAGGGAATTTTCTCCAGTGATGTTTCAAATTCCAGTTTTAGTTCCTTTTCTTTCAATGATTTTCATTTAATTACAAAGTTTGTCCAAAAGTTTATATTAGTGAGTTAATAAAAAAAATTAGTTATAGATCCAATCAATGCATATAATACAGTACAACACATGAAACACTTAAAAATAGTCTTTTGTGTTCTTGCATTGCTTTCAACAAAATTTTCAGACACTGATGGCATTACTCATGGCACGGTCCTTGTTCCCATCTTCAGGAATTTATTTTTTAAAAGCCATGAAACTTTCACGCAGCAACCAAGAATAACTTGAACCACAACAGATTTAACATACATCTTGCTATGTATACATACTAATTGTTAAATCGACTGCCAGGATTGAAGTAACTTTTCATGTGAGTTTATCCATGGGAATAAGAAATTTGGGCCAAATTACACCTGAGCAGTAGGATAGCTAGTAAATTTTTTATTGGCATAGTTCAACTTGGCAGGAATCTGTTCAAAAAAAGATGAAGTATTCTGATCAAATGTTAAATCCCACCCCCCACAGTAATGAAACCCATACCTGTCGACTTGTTGTACCAGTAGAATTGTCATTTCAATAAACTATCACCAAAGGTTGTCTATATTATAAGAAAAGTTACCACTGCCAATTTGTCAAGTTTGATAAAAAACATGATAGCAATCATTTTCTGTAATGCAGTGCAATAAGATTGCACTCCATTGTAGCTTGTGTGGGAGATAAAATTGAGTTTGACAAAAATGACTGTCCTTATTGTTTGGATGGTCAGATATGAGTTAGCAATCAAGCATGCATATTTGCTTCAAAATAAATTTTCCGATAATTCTTTTTGGACAAATCCTGTCACAATTATTTCCTTTTTTATACCTTTGTAAACATTCATAAATTTGATGCAGTATTTTTTTAAATCAATTGGAATATAGAGTAAATTATAATCATAATTGTTATTCAGGCTTACACTTTGAAATTTTATTATGCATTTGTATACCTTTGTTGATTTTTTGAAAAAGTGCCAAATATTTAATAAAAAATTCAGAATGTGTAATACATTTTTCTTTAGAAGTATAGTGTTCTTATTCTTTACCTGAGCTTTCAATGTAAATAGCCTTAACTAAAGAATGACATCTATGCCATATTTTGTTAAGGTAATTTATTCAGGTCTTTTTTTTCTTCTGTAAATGGTCTTTTATAACATGTCGTATCTATAGATAACAATCCCTATTCAAATCCAGTTTTGAGGCGCATTTACAAATTTCGCTCAGCGTTTTTTAAAAAAAATAATGGAATATCATGCTCTATAACTTATTTATAACTTGCTTTGAAATTCTTTTATACACATGTGTAGCTTTGTTAATCTTTAAAAAATGAAAAATGTTCTCGAAAGCTAATTAAATTTTAGATTACGTCTGCAATAAATTTGATTTCTATTTCTAGTTTTCGGTTTTAAAACTTATGTTTTGCAGGATTTAATTAATGTAGATTACCCTAACTTTCCTAAAAATGATAAAATTACTATATTTTGTTTAGGGAACTCTTACTCCAGTGATGTTTCAAACTCTAGTTCTGGCTTTTTTCCTGTCAGTGGTCTTCCAACGTGTCACGTCTGTGGTGAACAATTCCCAAACAAATCCAGTCTCGAGGTGCATTCACAAATGCACACAGGACTCCCTTATCCCATTGGTGGCCTCCATACTTGCAATGTTTGCAGCAAACAATTCCAATCCCAAGCCAGCCTCAGGATGCATTGTCTCATACATACAGGAGAACGCCCTTTCAAATGTGAAGAATGTGGCAAAAGTTTCACACAGAAAGGGAACCTTAAATCCCACATGAAGATTCATGTAAAATTAAAAGCAATTTGCATGTAGTGTTTGTATGAGAAATTCCCATCTAAAACATTGTATATTGTAGTATAGTTTAACTGTCTAACGCAATTCTCTGTAAACTTTAATTTTTCATAAACCGCCTATATCTAAAGCAACATAAAATTGATAAATTTATTGATTTTAATCACTAGCACTCTTGAAATTTTAAATTTTTTGGGGGGTAATAGTTAATACTTGATTGCATCTTTTGTGTTTTGAAGTATTATTATTTAATAATCAAAGCATTATAATATTGATCTGTCAGATATTTTCATTGCTATTTGAAGTTGGTTAGTTATATGATCTGTGAACATCTAACACAAAATTCTACATAGTGCACATCCTTATGTTTCAAGGTTTGCATGATAAAAATCTTCTATTTAGATAGCTTACTGTAATCCTCGATTCAGAAATTCTGCTATTAAACTGTGTAATATTGTTTATCCCTATTGCTCATATATTTTTCATGATAATATAGTACATTTATCTTACCTTAAATTATTAAAATCAGTTCATATTTATAGGTTACAAAAAAATTAGTGTAGCATTTTAAATTTTTTGAAATCTTATTTTAATAAAAGTAAAAAGTGAAAATAGTTTTGTGAAATGTTAAAAGAGAAAAAAAAATTGTCTAAACATGCTTTCAACCAAAAATGGCAGCAATGTAAATAACTCACTTGCTCAATTTTTAGCTTTTACGAGCATAATATTTTGTCACTGACAAATATATCTTTTTTACAAATACACTTTCATTGAGGGATTATACAATTTACAAATACAGGATTAAATATTTAACACAATAAAAACTTAGTTCATTTTCAAAGAAGAATATCACTGAGCAGTTTTTATTCCTTATTTTTTTTAATAATGTTTACTATTCAAAATTTTTCATCCTGCTTGCTGATATCCAAGCTTGGCTTTACTTACAAATGTCTAGTATGTATTCATATGTGTGTAATATTGACCTAGAGACATGAATTCTGCTATCATTCTTTATTTTACTATCTTTTATAATTCTTCTCTTTCCATTTATGTTTATTAAGTCTTGAAAGTTTTTTCTAATTTCACTATTTAGATGCTCTTGTGACCCTTTTCTATTTTGATATGCTTAGCTGATTAATACTTTAATTTCAGAGTGTTGTATTTACGTCTGTATAGGTGTCTAGTGTGAAATCAAAATGTATCATTTCTATATAAAATGCATTTTTTACAGATGTCTGATCTATAATTTACCGAGGCAGACAAGCAACGTATTCTTGTCTCGTTTTTTTATTTTTTATCTTTTCACACTTTAAAATATGTGTTCATAAAATTTTATTGACAAAAAATGTACATGTTATATAATTTGCAATAAATGTTTTTTTTTAGAAGTAAGTGAGCAATGATTGTATGTTTAACAATCACAATTTTTTTTTATTTTTAACAGTATAGCAAAAAACTTATTTGTAAAAAGTTTTTATATGTACGAGAATTTTGTTGGCTCAGTGGTTAAAGCACTAAGAACTAAGATCTTTTTGAAGAATTAAACTTTCATCTGTTATCCATCGATTTGAAGCTGGGTGACTTAAAGCCCACCCAGTTTCAAATCGATGGATAACAGCTTTCCGTGAAAGAAAAAGTGGTGGCTGTATAATGCTGATAAAAATTGCCTTTCTCATTTCATTGGTCTTGAAAATGCTTGAATAGTCATGACTTAACTTCCGTGGCCCCCTTGGCTACATCACGATACTGTTTATATTTGAGCAATGGAATTTTAAAGCTGATTTTATTAAGTTATGAGTTGAGCGTTTGTTTGTTGTTGTTGTTGTAATTTCGTGAAATTTATATTGATATTGTTTGTTTTCCTAACCTTCAACTGCTTATTGCTTTGGCTGATTACTTGGGCATGCGCTGTTTAACATTATTTTGATTTTTAATTAAGTTCATTGCAATCCCAAGCTGTGTTTTTCCCTCATTCTTTTTTATGTTTTTGTAGCTTCTAGTGTTTTTTGTTTTCTTAAGTTTGTATTGTAATTTTTTCCTAACCTTAAGTGTGGCATAGCATTGCTTAATCTGGTTTATGTTTCTTGTTATTCTTTAAATAATGTGGCTAGAAAACATTTAAAATTTAAATAACATTCTATATTTTGTAAGATATTTTCTGTTTAATATGTTTAACCCATCAATACCCATTATAAGTTTTTTCTAGAAAAATCTCAGAAATGTCTTTTGTTTTTAAGTTATTTTAGATTTTTCTATTTTTAAGTTCATATCCATTTTGAAAGGTTTTTTTTTTTTTTTGCAATGTCTGATGAAATCTATTAGTTAAAAATTAAATATGTGTAATTGCAAGTCTTGGTGCAATTTAGTTATAAGTCACACTTTTTCTAAAAGACACAATATTTAAATCAAACTGTTCCTTTGTATTATTTCCTGTTAGATAATTTAAAGTATCCCCCTATTCGCACAAGATGGAAGCACAAAATATGGAAACATCTTACTGCGTACTTGAAAGTTGTGGCATATTCACCTTTTTATTTATTTCTTATAGCATGAAATTGTGAGAACCTGTTATCTGAACTTTTCAAAAATTATAATTTTTTCATATTTTTTCCTCTCAATTGCATTGACATGTTAGTAAAGGTTAATTTATTTTCTAATTTCTTCAATGTAGATGTTTTTTTAAAAAAAATTCTGATTGCATGAGTAAGTGATTGTGAATTTATTTTCTAAATGTAGATCTTTTCTTTCTGCTGTTTATTTCTAACTGCATGAACATATAATTGTTAGAAATAATGCTTTATCCTCCTTTTTAGTGTTTGTTTATTCCAATGAGGATTTGAAATCTGACGATCTTCTCGTATGTGATATATGTAGCAGAATACTTACTACCGAAGAAAGCCTCGAAGCTCATTATCGTTCTCATGCTGGGAAGCGCACATTCAAGTGTGGACAATGTGGGAAATGTTTCTCCATAAAATCAAACCTAAAAAGACACTTGAATACTCATACAGGTCTTAAACCATTTAAATGTAGCATCTGCAATCAGCATTTTACTACGAAGCAACGTGTGCTGTCTCACACAGCTCGTAAGCACACTAAACGAAAGCACTTGTACAGTGAGGAAGATGTTAAAAGACTCCGTCATGTGTGTGCTGAGTGTGGCAAAAGATTTGCTACTAAAAGGTGCATTGCCAGACACATGAATAGCCACAAGGGCCTTAAACCATTCTCTTGCAATATTTGTAATCAGAAGTTTTCTTCAAAGCAACGTGTTCAGTCTCATTCACTTATTAAACATAACGTAATATTAAGAACGTAATATGTGTATTTTAATTTTGAGGGTGTAAAATTTATTCCTTTTAGTGGAACATATCAAGAATTCTAATTTTACTACCATGATGTACCAACTATGTATCAATTAATAATAAGTTTTTCTTATATCACTGAATGCTTGACTTAGTCAGTGAAATATAATAAATTTTGTAATTTAAAATGTTGCTATTGCGTTTTAATAGTGTAAAATATTGTCGAAAGCTGTATTGTAAGAAACATCCCTGTTTTTTTTTCCGAACTAATGTTTAAACACTCTGATAGTAATATGGTTGTTGTTGTTTTTTTCTGCCAAATATGACTTTCTTACCTTTTAGTTAAAATCAATTTTCTTATTAACATTTCATTTAAAATATATTTTGTAAGAAAAATTTCTACATATTTTTTTAACATATTGTGTAATAAAAAAAAATCTAATTATAAATGGCAAAATGTAATGTAGAAGCAATTGTTATTGAATATATTTCCTAGTATATATTTTATGGTTTGCAGAAAAAAAATGTTCTGGGTGTTTATAAATAAACTGGGCCTATTCAGAGGCATGTGAAGTACCATCCAATAGTCAGAATAGTACAATATCTGGCAATAAGGCTTAGTTCAGTATTGGGAAAAAATAATATCCTATAGAAGTAAATGTTTCACTTGTGAATTCATTCACCAATTTCACCCAGATGGAGCTTGAAATATAAGAGGAATTGTAAAAACACATACTATTGTGTGTGTTTTTAGATCTTGTTATTCCATTCCATTATTATTACCCAACACAGCTCTTGTAACGGACTTGGCAATATTTTAAATTAGTTAATTTATGTTTCAATAGGAAGATTATGCATTTATTTATAATGTAATTAAATTGTGAGAGACACACCATATAACGGCAATGAAATGAATTAGCACAATTTTGATGTATCTTGAAATTTCCCTGCTAAATGAAATAAGTTCTAATTCAATATTAAGTTCAATGATGGTTTCTTTTTCATTTTTCTAACGTTTATGTATATTTTTAATGAATTTTAAAATCTTTAACTGATGATGACGTCAATTTCTTTGAGCATTTTGAAGTCTGAATATTGCGTATTTACGTATAATTCCTATTGCTTGTGTTATATGCATTACTAGCATATATTATTTAGTATTATTAATATTTTTTATTTTATGGATTGAATAGTTTCTCATATTTATGGCAATTTTAACTTTTGAGCTATATTATTTATTAATCTGTGTCTGAATATTTGAATTTGGTTAAAATTATTTTAACTGTTTTTTTTATAACTTATTTTATATAATCTGAGTAATATTGAAAAATACTTTCAAAGAAAATATTTTAATTTTTACATTATGTATATTTGGTTTATTTTTATTTAAATATTTCCTATCAGTTCTCTTTCAGTTTATCTACTGGTTAAATATTTAAATAGTAATCTTTTTTTATTTATTTTTCTGTTCAAGTGATTTATAATTTTTGTTAATAATCTGATTAAATAACATAGGCAAATAATTTAGTTATTTGAAATACTTAAACCTCTATTCTAATTACTTTCTAAAACCATTCTTATCTTAACCATAATAGAATCACTCTCTGCAGAAAGATAATATTTTAAAGTTTGTTTGCATTACGATTCGTTTTCACACGATTTAAAAATCCAATATCGAGATTCATGTTCACTTGATTTTAAAATAAAATGATATGGGTCTTGTAGGAACTAAATTTTTTCTTAAATCAGTTACTTTTAATGTTTCTTAAAATTATTTTTGAAATAAAATTTTAAAGTTTTTTTTCTAATTTTGTGTAAAGAGAAGGAAAGAGGAAATAGCAGTACTTAACTCTAAATATTAAGCAGAATTTAATTAAATATGACAATCAAAAATTATTTAAACAGTTCTACAGCTTATGGAGGTTTGGTTTTCACAATTTTTCTGCTTTAATGTGTTAAAAAAAATCAGAAAATCAGGTTGCTTGTAATAGCATTGATGATTTTTAGCAAATTAATGCAAATCAAAAAAATTTTTATTTCTGAATTAAGAAGTAACTAAGCATGTGTATCATTTCCATAATTTATGTTTATAATATTTCAATTATGTTTACATATTATAGTTATGTTTATAGTTTAAGTTTGAATAAAATTTGCAGTTTAACTAATTATGCATTGTTTTTATTATTTGAGATTTGGCTCAGTTGAGTTTTTGACTCACATTTAAATTTCGTAACCTGTCGTTTTGTGAAACAAACCAGTTTCTTGTTTTATTGTCTAATTATAAGGTATTGTAAGCTGTGCAAATGTTAGTAATTTTAAAATATAAAATATTATATATGATTTTAATGAGTATGCATTTGAACTTTTCAGTACATTGGAAAATGTATTACTTTAGCAATTATATTTAGTGATTTATTTACTGTTTTCCTGTATCTTTGTACATTTATTAGAAATTGAAATTTATTTTTCTTTGCTTTTTTTAATCCTTTCTTTTTAAAAATGCAGAGTTTTTATAAGTAAATTTTTGAAATTAAAAAAATAAATAAATAATTTGTTACTTTATCTCAAAACATGTGTTAAAATTTGTTGGAAAAAGAAATGTACCAGTTTTCCACGAAATTTATGAACTAAAAATGACATAATTTTCTGTTTGAATCATAAGATCTCTATTATGTATATTTTTTTTAAAAAAAAGAGAGTAAAAGTTTGATAAAAATACAAGTAAAGATCTTTTGTTATTTGAATCATTTAATAAATTTTACTAATTTAGCTGTTTTTTAGGTATGTTTCATAGCTAGATTATCTTTAAAGCTAGTATTTTGATATTTATATGAATAAATACTTTTTAAAGGAGGTAATAAAATTTTTTATTTCATTTTAACTTGAAATTTATGTTATCTTAGGTTTATAAAATTTAATCATGCAGTTATTAGGAAAGCATTTTTTGATAAAAGCTTTGTGCATTCAAAACATTTTAGCAAGTGTAGAATTTTATTTATTTATTTAATTTTCGTTTAAGAAATTATGCTTGAAGGGAGAACAAAAATTTTAAAAATTGCAGAAGTCAGTTTTAAAGCTTTTAAATTCCAGAGCTTTTATTTTCAATTTTATTTTTTGCCTCAAATTAGAATTTTTTTAAAATTTTATTTATTTATTTATTTTTTTGCTTGGCTAATTGACTTAATGTCATTTTCTATATTTTTTAAAAATTGTATGTGAGAATACAATCAAGATTATTTGAGTTATTTTTAAGATAATTTTTGTGTGTAGAAATATAATTATTATTCAAGTTTTGACATAATTTTGCAGCTGGCTTAAAAAACATTCTTGTAAGATTTAGAATCATGTGTTATATTATTTTTTAAAGGTTTAACTTATCCGGAAAATAAATAAACAAATTTAAACTTGTGCTTCGTGTATTTAGTCAATGATGTTGATACTTTTTGATGTTTAATGAGGATAATATTCTGCTTAAAAAATCAAATTATATTGAAAATCGTGCTGTTATTAAATACTGTTCTGTTTTTATTTCTTCTTTTGTCTGGTATATTACAAATAAAAAGTAAGTAAAAATATGTATTCCTCAATTCATAATATTTTTTTTCTTACTTTTTTATTCCGTAACTTTTATAGTCTTGTTTTGTTACAACCTGTTAAATTGCAACATTAAGGAAACTTTGAATAAAAGTAGAATGTGATAAAAGTCTCCTAATTATTTATCCTATTGAGAACCCTCTACCCCTTTTTCTCACTTTTTTTGGGGGGAAACTTTTATCACATTACTTTATTCGTAGCCACTTTTTTTGGAAACTTTTTTGTTTGAATGATTATATTTTTTTTTTAATAATCTTCCTTGGTTGCGTGTGGAATATCAATAGATCTTGTGTATTATGCTTTTATCTAAAAATTTCTAATATTTCCACGTTTCCTCAAATGGACTATTAGTCACAAATTATAAATAAATTTCTTTTCATAATGTAATTGTTTTAATTAAGTTTTTCATGTCTTAAATTTTAATTTTGTTTAAATAAATAAGCATCGACAATAAATATTTGAAATAGGGGACAATGAATTTTAAATAAGCTGTTTGTTAAATACTAATTGTGTTTTTATTTTGGAAGAAAGAAAAAGGTTTATTTTTTCTTCCTTCTTATTTATTGGAAAGAGAAGCCATTTTGAATACTTAATTAATGTTTGCCCCTTTTTTTAGGAATCCTTTATTTCAGCGATGTTTCAAATTCTAGTTTGGGCTCCTTCCAGAATACCAGTGGGCCTCATACATGCGATACCTGTGGTAAACAATTTCCTAATAGCTCCAGTCTCAAAATGCATACTTACACACACACTGGAGAACGTCCTTTCTTTTGTGAAGAGTGTGGCAGACGTTTCACGCAAAAGGGAAATTTGAAGACTCACATGAAAACGCATGAAGGAATAAAGCCATTTGTTTGCGATTGTTGTTTGAAACGCTTCACTACAAAACGATGCATGCTGGATCATGTATCATCAAAGCATAGTAAACTACTTTAGGAGGAGGAATTCTGTAGATGTACGAAAACGCTTAGCTCTTTGTTTTCGCTTTCTGTGTTTCTGGAAATAGGATTAAATAGGAATTTTCTTAATTCATCAAGAAGTTACTTTTCTATGATGACAATAAAAATTATGATTTCCAACTTGTATGTTTCAAAAGTTACTGATAAAAAGTTGAATTGATTGTTTTTAGCATTATAAAGATATTTAAATTTATTTAAATGTGTCTGCTACTGGTAGCAAAGTATATATGTTCTAGATGTGATTATTTGAGCAATGAACATAATTTAATTTTAAAGAACGGTTTTTGTTAAGTATTTATCAAAGCATAGTTAATCATTTTTAATGAAGAATTATATTGGTATACAAAGAAGCACTTTCCTTCCCATTTTCTGGTATGTCTAAATTTTCTTTATTTAATCAAATGTAATATTGAAATTGTTTTTCTAAATATCGAGTATTTTGGTCTCTTGTATTTTTTCAATTTTTATTATCCATATACATGCTGGGTTGTTTGAAAAACAATTGCATTTTTTTATTTTTGTATGAAAATAGGAGGCAATTTTCTTCTAGTGAATGAATATTATTGAATCATTTATTGTCTGTTATTGAATGAATAGACAATAAATGATTAACAATAATATTATTGAATCATTTATTGACTATTCGGGACCAAAACCTTTTGTTGCTATCTTTCTTGCAGTAGCATAATTTCTCATTTTTTTTCTTCTTTGCTGGTAAAAAACATCCCCAGTGATGATGAGACGTTTGAGAAACGAATCGCAGTCATCAACTCTGTGGCATAAATTTCTTTCCATGAAGACATGAGAAACTGATATGTTGAGGTTTTAGATTAAGCCTTAGACTTTTCAAGTGATCATGAGCAGTGAATGCTAATTAATCATGAGCAAATTAAGAATAAGAAAATGTTGTTTAGATCTATGTTGCTTGAAAAAGTATTCAGTTCCCAGCAACTCTCAACTTTTAGCAGTTAGCAGTCGAAGGGTTAATAGCCACATAATTTTTTTTTAATCCTATCTTTTTTTAATCCTATCTTTTACATTACTGTATTTCTGAACTTTCTTATCTAATATCTTTTTGTTGCTTTACATATATTTTATTTAAATGTATATTTGTATACATTTGTTTGTTTACATGTTTTACGAAGTAATGCAGGATTGTTATTTCGTTTTTGATGCATATTAACACCTAAAGCAATGAGTAAAAGTTATTTGTGAGGTTAAGGAAAAAAAAATTTTACTATAGAAATGACAAAATAATTTTATTCGCCCACTATTACTTGTAAATGCTAAAATTTTTCTGTGATTTCTTTGCCTAGACTTAGTTTATCTGTTCAGTTTTATTGGAGATAAAATTAGCAGTTGAACTTGCTTGCAGTCTCCGCGATATGTTTAAGCAGTCCTGGGTAGAACTGGATCGAAGCTTTATTATTTTATATGTGAATAACATAAATTTTTTTTTCTCAAGGATGTTTTTTCTTCATGTCAAAGTTGGAAAAATTTTGAATCACTATTTATTTATTTAATTTTCATAGTTTTCAAAAAATATTTAAATTTATTATAATTAAAGAAATTTTTTATTGTGTTTACTTTTTACAAACTGGTTTTAATCTTTTACTATTCTAAGATATTGATAGTTTAATAAACTGTGAATCCTTTCTAGTCTGCTTGTTCCAATAATTTGTTGTTTTATGAGCAAAAAATAAGAAGTCAAAAGAATCTTGTTTAAAAAAAACTCCTGTAGTATTGGCAATTTTTTATGTGTTACTTTTTCAATTATTTTAGGCATTTTGTTTTTAAGTGATATTTTATATATAATATGATTTGTATGTGCCATTTTGTGATATTCAGTGTTCTATCATTAATATTTGATCATCGGAAAAGTATTTTTTTGGTAAAGATTGCAAGGTATTTTACAAAGTTTACGGATCTGATTGTAAGCAGACTCCTTCACTTCCAAAAACTTTTTGCCTCTATTCAAAAATATATTGTTAAATTCCTTGTGTTTTGTCTAGTTAAACGTTTTCCCAATCAAATTATTTTTTTATAATGAAGTCTGTTAATCATTTAAACAAAATAATAATTGTATGGCAGGATCATATGAGATGATTGTAAAAGTATTTAAAGTTTTATTTTAAAATTCTGTATTCATTTACTTTTTTGCCTAGTAACTAATATTCATGCATATATTTTAGCTATCAGTCAAAATTATATGAAGCTTTTTAATTTTCCAAATTTTATTTTTAACTCAAATATAGATATAAGATATCATTATTAATGTTTTTTTTTAATCAAATGTTTCACTAATCAAAATATATGTTAAAAATTTTTTTTCTCTGCATTTGTAGTTTGCATTTTATTTAAAAGAATTATTGTTTTAATATGAAAAAATGAATTCATTTATTTTTTATTACTGGAATTATATATTGCATTATTTATTAATTTTCTCACTTGACTAATCTGCAAAAATTATTTAAGAATCTGAATGCAAATACATTATCTGCTTTCTTTTCTTTTTTAAATTTATTAACTTTAAATTTTTCTGAGAAAAATGTTCATTTATTTTTTATTGCAGAAAAGTTATTCTAGTCGAAAATTTCTGATGAAAGAAATAGTTTAAAATTATCATCAAAGTATTTTTTAAATTTTTTTTTGTTGTTTTATGATAAAAACTTTTATAAATTGTTTGGTATATTAACCTACTGACGGTTCTGCACATAAAAGTCTTATCTTAACATGTAGTCTTCTCTGCATAGCAAAACTGTTTTTTCCTTGTAGTTAGATGGGGAAGTAGTGAATAAAGAACAAATATTCTCCCGATTTTGCCCATTTGCTAAACTGCCAGTGGGTTAAACATATTCAACTATGGGATTTAACCTGTGTGTGTGTACCAGTTCAAAGTTTCTTTTGTTTAAATGACAGTATTTAGAAATGATTCAAATTGTTATTAATATGTCTTTGATTAGTGCATTTATTGATTAATCAATATTATCTAAATAAATAATGAAACAAAATTCAAACTTAAGCTGAATTTAATTTTTTTTAGAATTTGTGACTTACCTCATTTGTTTAAAATTCAAATACATGTATTTAAAAATAATATCAGAGAATATTAATTATCAATGCAAATGGAAATTTTTTAACCCCATCAGCTTTCAACGATTCTAATTTAAACATTGTTTAAATTTTAATTTTATAAAATTATTAGCTTACTTAATTTTAAAAAATATGACGAATGCATTTAATATGTTAGTTTGCTGTTGATGTTTTTCATTTCAAGGATTTTTTTAAAGAATGGAGTCGAAATGTGTAATTCGCTAAACTGTTTTTAACTATAGGGTAGTGCTTATTTTTAATACACCTGCTTAAATAAAGTGTATGGTGAGCATTTCATGTTCATTTCTTGTTTGTGTTATTTAAAATTACAACCTTTGTTAAATGCTATTTGTATATTGTTGTTACTAAGAACATTGTCATTAGTATTACATTAAATTGTTTTAAATTATTGGTACTCTTCAATTGTTTATTTCTTTTATACTAGATAAAAGAAATTTTTTAAGTGACTCGTTAAAATGCTAAGAATTTAACTTCAAAATAATATGTATGTTGCTAAAATGCCAGATCAGTCAGCAATAATAATATTTTAAAGGTTAATCTTTTGTGTTTCTTTGAATAACTACCTGCGTTGAATGCTGTTTGTGATTTCTAATTCACAGTTTTGTTTTTGTTTGCTTTTTTTAGTTTGAAAAGTATTAAATAAACAATAGTTATATTTATTATATTTTTTTATTCACTTTTAAATGAAAAAACTGTATAATTCACTATTGTTCTAAGCACTTTAGCCTCTAGTGACTATTAGTTTTATTTATGTTTTTTATATAATCAATTCTGATTGAATTTCTCCACTTCTTATCTTTATTTTTTTTATTAACTTATGAAACAAGAAGCAGCCTAAACATAAATGTTAATACTATTTTAATAATCATTATGTATTATTTATTTTTTTATTTTATTTATTTATTAATTTTTTTAGCAATTTACGCATTCAAATTATTTATAAATCATAAAAATTGGATTAACTATTGAAAAAAATATCTGTTTTGATAGAAAATTAAATATTTTTAATTCAACGGATTCTATTTTAAATTGCATCTAGTTTTTTCATCAAAGTTTTATTAATTAGAACTATCTAATATATTTTTATTTGCTTCATGGAAACAAAAACTTGTTCTCATTTCTCTAAGTTCAAAATAAACTGTTGAATCAAATGATTATTGGAATGCAAATTTTTCTAGAAATGATTAGTATTACAAAATTAACTATTTTTTCTCCGCTATTAGTTAGAAAAAAATTATTAGCATACAGAAAATTCTCTGTTTACAAATTCAAATGCTATGAAAAAGAATAATTATAAGACTAAACAGACAAAATATTTTATATATTGCGACACAGAACAATATTGTATGAAGTTTACACTACATTGCACTTTCTTGTAATGCACCATCATTAGTGTTGTGACGTCTTGCGCAATAATGTTGATAGTACTTGTTTGCATTAAAATGGTTTCTAATCATATACTATTTTGTATGTTTGATAATGTTAATTGTAAACAAAAATTTCAAAAATGCCACTAAAAATCAAATTTCGTCAAAAAGAGAATAAAAATAGTTGCTTTTTCTATATATGAAAAAAGAAATGGGAGAAGAAGCCTTGCAAAAAGTGCTTGAAACCTTTAGAACTGCATCTGTATTTAGACTTCCCTGTGATGTGTTCACTATTATTTCCCTCAAAATATAAATTATTAAATTCTTTCTTTTTCCTGGCCTGGTGGGGTCTTTGCTCTGCTTTTTGCTGTTAAAGTTGTAAAAGGAGAGGAAGATACTTTAGAAAAACAAATTAACACGAAGTTTTTTTTCCTGCACTAGCATGTAGTAGATGTAGATATCTCTAATACTGTATTCGAGGTATGTCTTTCTTCCTACTATCCTACTTGGAAAGGTTTTGCATAACAATTTTTATTAAACATTTTGTTTTCATTCAGAATTTCTAATTACCTTCCTAATCCCCCCCCCCAAAAAAAATAGTTAAAAATTGTTTTCTAACTTCTGATACTTTTTTGCTTCTAATACTTGTTTCGGGGAAAAATAGGGAGAGGGGAATAAAGAAGTGGAAAGAAAGTTGGTTTAAAAAAATGTTTTTAAATTATATGTATGTCTAAACAAGAGTTTTTAATCTTGATAAATGCAGATTTGAAGTGCTTGTTTTGAGGATTACCCTTCTCTTGCTGCTACATAATGAAAGTTATATAACAATTTCTATTGCCAATTTTTTGTTATATTTTGAACTCCTGAATATGTTTTTTTTAAAGTGTATATTTAAAAATTTCAATTTTCGGTGATTGGCGAGGAAAGTTTTGGAAATCAATATTCAATAACTTAAAAAATCTCGCATAAGCAAAACAAATTGAACTATATCCTTTTTTTCTAAGTAAGATCCATGTATAGTCTCCATTTCTTAACCTATAAAAGCTTGCAAAATTTAATTTAAAAGAATCTTGTGTAGAATTTGATCCTTTAGATTGAATATTTTTGCATTAAAAAAGGAAATATTTATGTAAATATAACAAAATTTTAAGTAAATAAAAGAAAATTATCTGAAGTTCTTTTAACATTATTGCCCTTTTATTTTAGGAGGAACTAATTGTTTAAGCAATGCTTCCGATTCCAGTTTTGGCTCCTTTAACAATGCTTGTACTCTTCACGTCTGTGAAATTTGTGGCAAACAGTTCTCTAGTGATTCCAGACTCAAGATGCATTCTCTCACGCATACTGGGGAACGCCCTTTCAGTTGTGACCAGTGCGGTGGATGTTTCTCTCAAAAGGGGAACCTTAAAACACACATGAAAATCCATGAGGGATTAAAACCATTTTCTTGTAACTATTGTATGAAGCACTTCTCTACAAAGCGTTGCATGCTGAATCACATTGCTTCAAGGCACTATAAATAATCTTAGTGTTTGTTTTGTTTATTTTAAGTTTTTCACCAAGGAAATTTACAAAGTTATTTGAGTGCCTTAAGTTCCTTGCAAAACTTAAATTTTTTAAATTGTTTTAACTATCTTGCTGAAAAAAATTGCTTGGTCTTTAAAGCTCAAATAGCTTAAATATTTAAAGTTACTTAAACTTTTTAAGGCAAGGTACGTACTGGGGGACTCCCTTTCAGTTGTGAACATTATACAGTACTGAACCCGTTATCCGGAAATCAGAAAACCGGAAAACCAAAAAAACCGGAACGAAATTCGATAAATTTTCCCGCAATTTAAAAAAAAAATTTCTTTTCTTTTTTGAAAGATGTTTACCTTACCATCATTTCAGAAATAATCATTAGTGTATTACCTCATCGTTTTCTCTTATTTTTAAGATTATTTCCAAATATTTATTTTTTTTAGTTGGGTTTAACACTAAAAAAACGGCTTTTTGTAGCGATTCAGAAAACCGGAAAAATCAGTTATCCGGAATAGCGATAGTCCCGATCATTCCGGATAATCGGTTCTCTACTGTAGTAGACGTTTTACTCAAAAAAGAAACCTAAAAACACACATGGAAACCTACAAGGGATGAAAACCATTTGCTTTTAACTATTGTCTTAAGCACTTCACTATAAAATGCTGTGTGTTGATTCATGTTGCTTAAAAGCACAATAAATAATCCTAAAGGGTATTTTTTTAAAGCTTTTTTGAAAAAAGAATGTAAAAATGCCACAGTTTCAGTTAAACTTGAAGCAAATCTTGAATTTTAAACTATTTTAACTATCTTGCTGAAGAAAGTTATCTGTTCTATAAAATGGTCAAATACTTAAATGGTTCAAAAATCTGATGGTTTTTAAATAGATTTAGCTTTTTGAGATTTTTCCCCTTAGATTAAAATTATTAAAATAAGTAAGTAAACCTCTATGTTTGCATTTTTTTGGCTTGGTTTTTGTCTTAAGGAGCAACTTTTAAAATATCAAGGAATTGGATCCCAAAAAGTTTTTCATTTTCATTCAGTTGTGGATTTTCTTGATATTGACATTTTATGCCATTGCAAATGAATGAAACTGTTTTATTTTGTTACAATCTGTCAGACATACTATATTCAATGCAATATTTAAATTTATTGGTTTGCTTCAGCAATAAGCGTGGATTTCTTTACTATATCACTTTTCATTTACTATATCATCTTTTTGTAGTTATGATATTCCTATTGCAAACAAAATATAGAGTGTTTAAAAAAATTCATATTGCTAAATTTGCTTGGTTTATCTTTTTAGACTTCTAATAAATATCTCGAATTTTATTTCAGTAGTAGTGTATCCAAGTTTTGCTTTAGTAATATGCATAGTCATTTTTGATCAATATAGTTAAGTCTGAATCACCTTTTACTTGCCATGATGTTATAGAAAATGGTGTACAACAGTTTTTCTTATATTACAAGATGTTTAAAAATGATTGAGTATTTCTTAGCAAGTTTTAGTTTTTACTTCATTACTTCTCTTAAACAATGAAAAAAGTTTTCTAAAAGATGAATATCTGTTTCAGGACTTTTCCATATTACAAACTTTTTTTCAAGATTTAGCGACTTAATTAAATAGCCTTATTATTATTTTTTTTACTCATAGCAAAAGAAAACACAGTAATTTTCGAATTTGTCACTTTTAACTAAGTTATAATTCTTTTCATTGTATGTTTTACTTTAAATTTATATACTCAAGTATTGGTAATCTTATTTATACATCCATGTCCATTTTATTTAAATATTTTTGACTACAAAATACTAATTTCTGTCATCAGCATTGTAAATTCTTTAATGATTTCACACTTATAAAATTCTTGTTATAATTTCTTTTTATTTTCCTTTTCCCATTATTACTATTTTACTAATCTAAAAATGTTGTGAATACTTTGTTATTTTACTCTCGATTTTCATAAATAAGTTCATGTGATCCAATAGGACCATATTTTTTTTTAATGATTTAATTATTTCTGAAATTAAAAATCCCTCATGATTGTTGTTTTTCTCCTTTTGTTCACAGACTTGCTTAGTTCTTATTACCATGTCTGCAAACTGCTGTGTGAAATCAGAAGTGTAAAATTATATTTGAATACCTTTTATTTCAAACAGAGTCAGCAAATAAGCATTTTCTTCTACAAATTCATTAATCATGATTGGCAAATCATCACATGGAGTTATTTTTGCATTAAGTTTCTAAAATTGTTACATGTTGAGTGCTATAATTTTAGACTGTGTTTTTGGGAAAAAAATCGTTTAAACCATTATGAGAACAGAGGAATCTATCATTAACAAATTGACTGCATATAATGGCTGTTATAGTCTATAATTTGAATTAAAATTTAGCTGCTTGTATGGTGTTGCTGTTGCTTACACTTTTTTTTGTCCAAACTTATTTTGACATTTTTTTTTTGTTGTTGTTGCTGAACTAATAGTGTAAAAAGAAAAAAATGGAAATTTGTGATGTGTGCTGAACATGTTAATTTTATCATTTTGTAAAATTGTTTTGTTTTTCATGTTGCTTTTTAATTCATTATAGTGGAAATTTGAATAAATTCTTGAATGGTGCCATATTATAAATTTCTTGTTTTATCAAGTTATTGTTTTGTCACGAATTTATTATTTTTAGTTCTTGGTTTTATATTATTTTATATTAAAACCCTGGATTCATTCGCCATTGTACCAAAACTGCTATTCTCACATTGCCAGAATACTACTTCTCTTACAATACTTATACTGAAACTGGCTGAAAAATTGCAAAAAAATTTGCAATTTTTCAGAAAGGGTATGAAAGAGTATTGTTCATTATCAAAAGCCATTTTCTGAGTACAATCATTGTTTTTACTTCTTTTTATGAAAAAGTGTAAATTAAATAATTAAAATAAAAAAAATTTTAAGCCGTGAATTTATCAATAACTTAAATTTTAGATATTTTACTGTAATTGTAACATTTTCATTGCAATGGTTTTCCCCTTATTTTTAGGAAGCCTTTATTTGAGTGACGCTTCAAATTCTAGTTTTAACTCCTTCCAAAGTGCCACCAATGGTCCTCATTTGTGTGAACTCTGCGGCAAACAGTTTCCCAACAATTCCAGTCTGGTGACACATTCCCGTATTCATACTGGTGAACGTCCATTCACCTGCAAAGAATGCGGACGATGCTTCTCCCAAAAAGGAAACATGAAAGCTCACATGATAACTCATGAGAAAATAAAGCCGTTCGCTTGTAACTATTGTCCCAAACGTTATACTACGAAGAAATTACTATTGGGTCATGAATTGGTAAAGCATAAAAAATAATCTAAAAACTGAAAGTTCAATTGATTATGTGCAAAACTGCTTAGCTTTTTTTTTGTTGTGTTTTCATAGTGTTTGTAAGCTTTGCTTTATTAATAAGTTTAAATTTGTTGTATCTGTAGATCTTTTTTATTTTTAATGTTGTTACTATGAAGAAACTATTATTAGGCTAGAAAGTGGTAAAGCAAAAAAAAAAAAATTCTATGGTATGTGCAAAAAATTATTTTTATTTTTTTTATCTGTGTTTGTAAGTTTTCCTTTTCTAATAAGTATACGCTTAATTATGATAATGTAATTATGTAAAAATCTTTATTATTTTTTAAATATAATCTTTATTATATTTATTCTTTGAAAAAATTATTCTTAAATCATGAATTGGTAAAGCATAAAAAATAATCTCAAAAAGTAAAATTAAATTGATAATGTGCAAAATTGCTTAGATTTTTTATTTTTTTCAAAAATGTTTGTAGGCTTTGCTTTAATAATGAAGTATGTATGTGTTTATCCCAGTGTAGTTGTATACATAGATCTTTTATTTTTGAATGATTATTTTTTTCAGGGAAGAAATTAGTATTAGGTTATGAATTGGTAAAGCTTAAAAATAATCTTTAAAAGAAAAATTCAATTGATATGCAAAAATGCTTTGATTTCTATTTTTCAGCAGTGCTTGTGAGCTTTGCTTTATTAATAAGTGTAAGCCAGTTTATGCCAAAGTAACTATATATATATATATAGAGAGAGAGAGAGATTTCCTGTATTTTTTAATGAAGTTATTATGAAAAAATTATTAATGGGTTATGACTAGGTGAAACATAAAAAATAATCTCAGAAAAAAAAGGATTCAATTGATGATGTGCAAAATTATTTAGCTTTTTATGTACTTATTTTTTTAAAATAGTTTTTGTAAACATTGCTTTATTAATAAGTATAAACCTGTTTATGCCAATGTAGTTATATATAAATATGCTCTTTATTTTTTTTAAACATAGTTTCTCATATATTTTTGCATTTATATTAATATGATTATGCCTAGATATGTGTTATACTTTTTAGATCTCTGTGTTGCCAACTGTATAGGGAAAGATGTAACTGCATTTTGTTTAAGTAGTACAGAGCTTTGGTTCATGATATCATAACGTAAATTCTTTGTACTTTAGTTTAAATAGTACATGGATTTAGTTTATGAAACTATAATTTTAATATCAAGCATTTTATTTTAAATTTATTATTACATTTCTTAGTTATTGTGAGCTATAATTAAGTTATAGCTCACAATAACTTAGTTATAGCTCGCAATAACTAAGCTAGCTTAGTTATTGCGAGCTATACTTTTTCTTTCACACATCATTTATTTTTGGCTGTGTTAAAATTTTAATGGTATATTTTCTTTCTTCTCTGTGAATTAAATTTTCTGCTAGTGGAAAATATTTTTGAATTTAATAATTCAAGTTAAAAGCTAAATAATTACTTTCATCCTTAAAAAAGAACTATATATCCTTTATTTTTTAATACAAATATAACAACTACTAATCATTAACAACTGGTATTGTCAATGGTTTTAACCCACTGGTGGTTAAGGAAATGGGCAAAATTGGGCGAATGTTTCTGCCCTACACACAGTTCCCCTATCAGTTAACATGGGAAAACCGGTTTTGCTATGCAGGACTGCAGGTTAAAATGCGACTTTTTACGTGCAGAACCGTCAGTGGGTTAATATCTTTAAAGTGAAAAAGAATTAAGTGATCAGATTTAAATTGTATGCACTGTTACTCACATTTTATAATATGGAAATTAATTACTCACAAATGTTTGTAATATGGGAAATTTTAATCTTGATGGAATTAAAAACTTTAGTTAATTTAATATAGAAATAATTAAGTAGATTTCATATTTCTTTATGTTGCTTAATTGTTCTTTGTGGTCATATGTTGTATTCTGCTTCTTTGTATTGCTTTTTACAGCATATGGATCTTTAATTATCAGATTGTAACAAAAGTTCTCTGGCAAAAAAAAGCTCTTAATAAAGCTAGAAAAAAACATGAAAGCAGTAGGTTTAGTGTGGATAGTATTCACTACCTATACGTATAATTTTTTTGCCACCATTTTGGTAGTTTTTCAAAGCCTTTGCCCCGGAAGTTTGTTGACCACAAGTCCACAAACAGGTGAACTTCGTTTTGGATGTCCTGTGCTAAATTGAAGATAGCACCAGCAATATGTAGCAGAATGTTCAAAAACAAAGAAAAAAAAGGTAGAAGTTCAAAGAAGTAATGTCGAGGAGGGTTTTGTGTTATCTTGATTGAACATTATAGCTTCTCGTGCCGGAACTTAGCATAACATTTTGCCTTGATAGCAGCTTCATCAGAACTAGCATCCGGTCTTACTATTGATGGTTTTACCTTTTTCCTGCTACTCTTCATGGCTACTCTTCCAGTAAAGTATGATCTTTTTGTTAGTCAAATTGCGCTTTGCGACACTACCAACAGGTTCACCGGATGCAAACCACACTTGCATCACATGTGATGATCCGGTCGAGAATATTGTCATTTTGTTGATATTTGAGCATGCCTGAACATGTCTATCCTTTTCTGCTTGAGTCAACTCATGAGGCACTTAGCGATGGAACTTGTGAATAAAGTTTATGTGATTCATAGAGTGACTAAAAGACATGGCACAAACCTCTAATTGCTTTGCTAGCTTTCTAGTAGTTGAATATTGGTTTTCATCTGCAAGTTCTTTCGGATGCACTTCTTCAACATCAGTAGAGCTGACCAGAGCAGACTAGTTCTTGAATCGGATAGTCTTTGTTTTTGAACTTTTGTCACCTAACCTTCACAGTGTCGTATGATCCAACGGTAGTAACTAAAGCTGTACGCATGTTTCGGTGACATTCTGTAATTAAATTTTTGTAACAGAACTTGAAGAAAATTGTGGTTTTAATTTGGTAGTGTGACAGTTCAGACACCTTGTAATTTAATGATAATGAAAAAAATTTTTCCAGATTTTGTAACACAGTGTTCTGAAGCAAAGCTCTTTCTTTCAAATTCTAAAAATTGTCTGACAAAATATGAGCATGATGCAACATGAGCTGTTTGCTCAGACAATATTAGTGGTGACTGGAAACTTTCGTTACAACCTGATACATTTCATTTCCATCGCAGAAACTATCATCATCATAGGAAAAAGTATCAGTTTTATAATACAAAATATTCAATCTAATACACAAAATAATAGATCAATATACTAGTTTTATTATGCTGAATTTTTTGTTTGTTTAATAATTGAAATTATTTTTTTGGTGCTAAATGAATTAAATTATGGTAAATAATACTTTTGGTGCTAAATATTTATTATGAGTGCGTATAATTTTTCTTCAAGTAAAAATTATCCAATCTAAAGTGTTAATGTGACTATGAATTTGACAAAGCTCTTGTGTTTTATTTACTTGCAACTTTTTTAAATACTGTTTTAAAATAATTTTTGCATTAGTCTTTTTTTTTCTCTTTTAAATTGACCAGTTATGTTGAAATTTTTCCTTCACGTTATGTGCATTTTTCGAAAATTTTACCTCTATGTTTTAAATTTTTAACGTTTGCTGCTAATTTTGCTTTTATTATAGAAATAAAATTTTTGCATTATTTAATAAGTAATAATTTTTTCATTTACTATCCACACAAATTTTATTACATGTAAAGAAATATTTGCTTGATTTTTCATTGTTAAATTTTGATAAGGACTACAAATTTTCTGTTATCTCAAACTGTATTAGTACCGTATTTGTAGTCTAAAATATAATTGGTTTAACCTAAATACGTTGAAGAGGGTAGTACCTTTCATGCCAAAGAGCAAAGGAATGTAGGCTTTATTTTCTCTGAAAATAAATTTATTGTAATAAGCAAACAGATCATATTTTGTATACATCTGGCTACTTCAAGAACATTTATAAGTGCAGTTTGGATGATTGAAATCAAATAAATTAAATCTGAAATTTAAATCATGATTTAACCACTTGATTTAAAAAAGAAAAATGTTTAAGATATTTGGACGCTTATATAGATTTTAATTATTGGGGGGGGGGAATAGAAGTAGAATATNAGATTTTAATTATTGGGGGGGGGGGAATAGAAGTAGAATATAATTTAGGCTTTTTTTTTTAAAAAATAAGCTGGTATAAAATTTTTACTTTTTTTGTGAGAAACATTAAAAAAAATTTTGAAAATCTATTTATAAATAAATTATAAAAATTTTCAAATTATATATTTGGCTTATGGACTATATTTATACTTATGGATGTATTTATAGCATCATATTTTAAAACATAAATGTGGCTAAAATATCATTACCAGTTTAAAAAATGCTTTTTCATATTATATTTCTTAATTTTTTCCCCCTGGAAAGCTTAGCTTAAACAGACCCTAGGTGACAGATTATTAACTTTGTTTTAATGTGTTTGAAAAAATTACTGAATTGAATTCTCTGAATTTATTTTCATTATTTTAAAATTAATTTTCTGAACAGATAATTATTTGTTTAATTGATTTTAAACTAGCAATATTGTTTTCGAAGACTAAAAGAAAATTTTAACAATATTTTTGCCACAAAGAATGTAAGTTTTAGTCAGAAATCTATCCATAACCAATGTGAAAAAGGTTAAGGTATTTTTCTTTAAGTTATTGTTTTATATAAAAGAAAAATAAATCTTTTTGGTTTGCAAAATCTAATCTAGTACTGTATAGATGGGTGGCTAAGTTTAAAAAAAAAAAAAAACATTATTCTAAATCAAGAAAATTTGAATCTAAAGCTAGAACAAAATCTTGAAAATTTCCGATGTGTTATGAATGCAAGACGATGCATAAACAAGCTCAATGTTCTACGAAGTTTTACTATTTAAATTTGCTAATAATTTTACCATTCATATGTTTTTGCTATATGTTATAAATACTAAAATATTTTAAGTCTTAAATCAGTTTAAAGCATAAAGGAAGAGCAAGGATTGCGATATTCTGAGTGTTATCTCCAGTTTTTGTGTTTTCAAATCGAATGGTAAATAGCACAAATTGTATGCAAATAGCACATTGCATACAACTTGTGCTATAATGTAAATAGCACATACAACTTATACTATATATGTAAATAGCACAAGTTACAATGGTAAATAGTACAAGTTATAAATGGTACAAGCCCAATAACAATATATGATCGTGTATTTTTGAAGCTTAGATCTAAAAATTAATTGGAAGTAGTTGCAAGGAAGTTTTAGTACGAATTTTAACCGATAGCGCAACTTATGTTTAGCTTTACAGTAAAACAAAAAGAAATCTAACAAGGGTTAAGAAACTTTAAATAATGAGTTGACTTTTCCAAAAAAGAATATATTAACATTGAATTTCATTGTTAATTATTTTATTTTTAGTGCATTCCGAAAACCGGAGCTAGTGAATGTTTCAATTCGCTCCAACTTTTCAGTTGAATACATTTATGAAACTGATGCCATTTTGAACTATTTATTTTACAGTTTTGTTATTCTGGCCTAATTCTATAAAAATTTTGTAGTTTCACTTCATGTTTCTAATTTTCTTGGTAAAAATATTTTGTCTTAATTTGTTCTATTATTCCTGATTTTTGTATCTGTTTAAAACATCCCATTGCCTCTGAAGATAATTGCAGATTTTAAATTCAAAGAATCGAAAGATTTAACTTTTTGATCTGACATCATTTTATTTTATTTAATAATGCTTTTAAAAATGGCATAAATTTAATAGTTTAAACTTTGGGACCATATACTAATGATATACATAATCCAGCATATGGCCTGATTCACTCCTCTGCTTTCTGAAACTTATAGGATTTATAGTTTCAAACTTCTTTTAGAATTGAATCATTTTGTGAACAAATGTACTCCAATTTACATTATCAAATTTTTATGTGATGAATTCAGTTATTGTATACTTATTTTTTTCTTTTTTTTCTTCTTCTTTTTTCTGTAAATGCTGAAACAAATCTTGTTTGTGAGTTTCACAATTATTAATTTGCCGCTATTATCTAATTTTAATTAGGATTGATTCCAATCGACAATACAGTAATCATATCAAATAATGATTAATTGTGGGATCATCCACTAAACTCCTTTTTTAGCTTCTAAACTAATTGAATATATATATGAAGAAGAAAAAAGAAACAGGGTGTCCACATGTCAAGAAAATCAGGGTAAACAAGAAAAAGTCGGGAAATTTTGTCAATTTGAAAAAATTGAGGAAATTTTATTTACCCCCAAAGTCAGGAAAAATGAATTAATATGAGTTTTGGGGTACCCAAAGGTCTAAATATTTTTTCCTAAAAATTGCTCTTTCATTAATTATATATTTTAAAAAATTTGTATTTATATCTCTAATAAGCGAGTTTAAATGTCTTGTAATACATTTTTTATATAAGAATCGGGCATGACTGAAAAATTAATAATAAAATTTATACCATCGGTTACAAAAATCAGGAAAATTTGATGATATCAATTTGGAAAAGTCAGAATTATTTTTTTTTCTGAGTGTCTGTGACCATACTGAAAAAGTATATTATAATGTATGTAAAGAAGGAAAGTATGTTTTCTCCATTTTAATAATAATTTATTCTAGTATTGTTTAAAATATTTGAATAAAAATAGTTTTATTGATTCTTATACTTATATTTTTTCCTTTTTTTAGTGATCATTTATTCCGGTGATGTTACAAATTCTAGTTTCAGTTCTCACTATGACCTCAACTCTGTAAATGTGTGTAACATTTGTGGCAAAAGGTTTCCTTCCAAATCAGGCCTTAACATGCATTCTCTCACTCATACTGGAGAACGTCCATACATGTGTGAACAGTGTGGCAGAACATTTGCACAGAAAGGGAACCTTAAAGCACATGAAAAAACTCATACCGGATTGAAGCCATTTGCATGCAACTTCTGTGAGAAGAGCTTCACCAGTAAACGCCGCATGTTGGAACACGTAGCTTCCAAACATGGGTTCTAATGATGGATTGAAAGCGTGAAAAATAATGTAACTAAGCAATTTAACTCTTTATTGGGCTATTTTTTTAAGTAATTCTATATAAAATATTTTTTAGGTTTATTTATAAAAATTAATTTATTTGGTTTTTTACCTAAAATTAACTTGACTTTTAAGCCATTGTTTTTCTTCATAAATGTAACCTATTGTAAAAAATTTGGTCTTAAACTCGATCTTCTGTCTTTATAACTTCGAAGAGAAATGGTCATACAAATAAATGTGCTATAAAGAAAAAGAAAATGATGGAAATAAAAATGAAATATGACCACGGAAGCTGACGTCTTCAGGGGGTACCGGCCCCGGTAGCCATAAAAAGGTAAGAACTCTCCTACCCATTCGCCTATAGAGGTAACTATGGTAACGAGGTATAACTATTTCAAGTAGGGATGTGGGATCATTGTATAGGACAGGTGTTGGCTCGGGTCGGCAAGAGAAAGGGAATCTTTTTCTTTGGTCTACTGTGTTAGCCCTAGAGTGAAGAGAAGCTACCCTCCCTGAAATCTGCAATTTTTGTTTCCATAACAGCAGACGGCCTCAGACTGTGGCAGGGGGAGTTCTTACCATAGACAAACTATATATTACCCGCAATTATGTGAACAAAGCCTTTCATCACTATTTTTTCTTATTTTTTAAAAGTTATTATTAGAAACGGGCTACACAATTTGCAGGTGGGGAAGTAGCTTCCCTTCAAAGTTTAAAAGTTAGTGAAATCGATGGGAAATATACTTACCACGGCATTATAATGGGTTGAATAACTTCAGTTACATTATTTTTCACGTTTCCTTAATGCCAAATTTAATTTTTTTTATAAAGTTTGAAGGCCTTATTGTATTTTAAAAGACATACTTAATTTTTTTTAATCTAAATCTTATTAATATTAAGATTTATTGAACATTGTTGTGGTTAGTATGAATTCCGGTGATTACATGTAACACAATAAAAAGAAATTTGTTCTGATCGATCAAAATCTACTTTGTGAGTTGTACATTTGTATTAAAATAAAACTAGTTGGACTAGGAGAGTAAGCATTTTTTGTCTCAATTTAAATAGATTAGAAGAATATATACCTTTTTAAAGTGTTAATTTTTTATGGTGATTATTCTATGAAAGGTGAGAAAATTTGTTTATTTTGGCAGTTTCTCCTAAAAATTAGTGTAAAATGTTTACCAGAAAGTTATTATTTGAAAATGTAATATATTTAACTGTTGTGTGTAAAATATTTAATATATTAAACTGTTAAATATCATTACTTCTTTAGATTGAGAATTGCAGTTTGAAAAATGATCAACTATTTTATGAAATTTATTTGAATATGTTAATAAAATAAGTTTATTTATTTAAAAGAAAATTAGTTGCCATTTTTTTGTATGATTTAAGTTACGTGGAATGAAAGTTTCCTGTCAAGTAAGTGGATTTTCGATTTAAATGTTATCGATTGAGAGCAATTTTATTATTTTGTTGGTCTAAGGCAGTGTTTACCAAAGTGTGGTACGCATACCCCCTGGGATACGGGAACAGTTTAGAGAGGGTACACGTTCTTATGCAAACTATCTTGCAACAAACGAAAATCTCAGTAATTTTTATTTAAAAACAAACCTAGCCATGAAAATTTACAATCTTATTTTTCTATTGGCCATTTTTTGCAGAGTTAACAGTTAATAATTAGTGGTGTCAACAGCCAGTTGTGATTTTTAACTTTTGTGCAATTTTTTTATAATAGAAAATGCATTCATTTTTTAATTAATGGTGCACAGCGTTACGAAAAATTTAGAAAGGGTACACAAAAGTCATAAGTTTGGGAAACACTGATATTCAGGTAAGGTATTACAGGGTGTTCTGCAATCATAACTCTTAGTATATAGGTATATATGTTTTTGAAATTTTTTTTTAAAAACAATTTATTAAGTGTCGCTAGTTAATATTTAATTAAGGAAAAATAATTATCAAGATAAATTACTGTAAAATTCTAATAAAAGTCCTGGAAATTATTTACACTGTCTTATGACGCTGATGAAAAGTAGAGGTAATTATTTTAGAAATGTTTTTTATCTCACCTTCACTGTAATTGATATTGATGTGTCTGACTGAAATAATGTTTTTAATTTAAGAAAAATATGTATATAAGGGTGGTAATTATAAAACACCCCATTCTTTCCAGTAGTTAAACTTCTACTTGCTTCCAGTTTAATTTCATGATTTCCTTCAAAACTAAAAACGCTGATTTTCAAACATTTGATAATTAATTAAGTTCTTGAGCTCAAATGTTATTAAAATTATTATTAAGCTTAAAATGTATTTGAAATATTCTTCATTTTAATGGAAAATACAGAATTTCCTAATGAGAATAACTACTTTTTCCGTGAATTACAATTTTAATTTTTTTTCCTGTCTATTATTGCATTTGTTGCTATGAAATTGATAACTGAAATTAGTTTTTTTTTTTTAATGTTTTTTTTTTCTCTTTTAGTGAATTTTCAATATGATGATGCTTCGAATTCCAGTTGTGGCCTCCTGGTTCACAAGTGTAGAATTTGCAGCAAACTGTTTGCAGCCAAATCCATCCTCGATGTGCATATTCGCACTCACACTGGAGAACGTCCGTATAGGTGCAAAGATTGCGGCAAAAGTTTCTCCCAAAAAGGAAACCTTAACACCCACGCAAAAACTCACAACACATTGAAGCCATTTGCTTGCAATTTTTGCACAAAACGTTTCTCTTCGAAGCGTAGCTTGATGAGTCACTTGACATCTGAACATGTGTAGTTTGAAGGTTGTTATTCTTGTGCAATGCTTTAACTAAAAGAATATCATGAAATAATGTTTGCTGTAGCTATTTATTTTTCATTGTATTATGATGCATTCGATTGTGGAGTAATTACATTGAAATGGATAAATGAAAGGTGTTTATAAGACTTCTCTATTATTATTATTTTATTTTGTTTTGGAACTTTCGTTTAATTGACGCTACAAATTTAAGTTGTGTCCTTTTAATTCAAGAATAGTGTAAAATCTTCGGTAAACTGCAGCTAAAACAGCCTTTGAAAAGTGTTTTCCTTTTCATATTTGACAATGTCCGTAAAAATTTCGGACTAATGGAAGCACTCTTGCAACAACCTGTTGTCCACCGAGAGGGTCTTGGAGGATAGGGCTCCACAATTTTTAGACCAATAGCATGATAGTGACAATGTGGTCAATATTTTCCTCTGCTTGACTTTACTTCCAAGGCTAACTATTGTTCATCAAACTTAAGGAGGGTGGGCTTAAAGTATCCACTGTGAATAGATCCCCAGTCCTACACAAAGGACAACTTCTCATTTGTCATTGTGAAATCATCAATTCCTTGCATCTTTAATGTAAACATTAAAAAAGAAATGTTATGGTCATTAGATGCATTCCTATGGAACCAATTTTCTACATTGTTTAACAGCAGATACTTTAATTTATATACTAACAATGCTAACAATGTTCTAACTTTTCTATAAGAAAGTTAGGACACAATCAGGATGCCATTTTCCTATTAACCTCTTTATGGTATGGATAACTACTGTGCTATCATGGTAGAAAATTTATAACCCATATATTTATACAGGACTGGTCTGAGATTATTTATTTGGTATTTTCAAGAAATACTTTCTTTCTAATCATATAGTGTGATGTATGTAGTAATTAAAATGTAATTCAGTTAATTATATTCTTTAAAATAAACCATAACCTGAAACAATATGTACTCTATTTTTTACTTTGATTTTTTTCCCTACCACATAATTTTAATCCTCTCATTTCCTACCTCATAATAAAAGAGAGATTTTTAAAATTTTTTCTTCTTTTTCAGTGTTTTTTCATTCTGTTGATGCTTCAAACTCTCTCTGTGGCCTATCAGTTCTCAAATGTGAAGTATGTGGCAAACTTTTTTCAGCCAAATCAACCCTCGAGAAGCATATGCGCATTCATACGGGAGAACGACCATATAGCTGTAAAGATTGTGGTAAAAGCTTTGCTCAGAAAGGAAACCTTAATACACATCTTAAAATTCATACAGGAGAAAAACCATTTGTTTGTGATTTTTGCGGAAAACGCTTCACTTCAAAGAATCGCCTGTTGTATCATGCAAGAACTAAACACGTATAGGTTATAGCCATCCACTTGTAACTTTCATCCAAAACTCTTCAGTGCTTAGTATATACAATAATAAACATCTGTAGGTCAAGTAATTTAATAGTTACTTTTCTGCAAAATCATTTACTTAAAACAAAGTGAGGAAGACACTCAACCTGTTAAACATTTGTAGATCAAATCATAAGTGAATTATTCTGAAATAAAAATTAAGTTTGAATGAATATCATAGTATGCTTTGTTAAGTTTGTTGTACAGTTCTTAGCTTTAGTTATTTCACAAAATTGTAGATTTAATTTTGAAATCTATTTTTCCAGCATCATACGATTTTGAAGAGGAAAGAGATAGTATCAGATTTTTTAAATTGTTGGATCATTAATATTTTTCCCTCTTAAATGCCTAACTCATTTTTTTGCTTTTACATAACAAATTTTTTTACTGTTACTAAACTAACTATTGTTTCCTTTTTTAAAAAACTTTGTTTTATTCTTGAAAATTCAAACTGCCTAATGCATCATTAAAATAATTTAAAAATATTAAAAAAGCAATGATTATTAGAATTTGTCAGTGTTATGCTTTAATTATCCATAATGTGTTTTACTGCTGTTAAACTGTTTATATCTCTATGCTATTTAGTAGAAGAACAATACTTAGCATGAAAATTAGCATCTAAAAATCAGCATTTAATTCATCATAACATGTGTCAACCTAATTTTTCAAAAGAAATCATAATTTTTTTCTTCTCAAAACTGAAATTTAAATAAATTAAATGTTTTATGGAATATTTATTTTGAGTATTGGTTTAAATGTCTATTTGTATTAAATTTTACTCTGTATTTGAAGGTCTTAGTGGAGATACATGTCGAGAGACTTGAGAGTGCGCAAATTTTTTGGTTGAATAAAACTTATAAGCAATTAGTTGATTAAAAAATTTAAATGTTTTTCTAAATTTTTATATTTTTGTCTGTTAAAGGGGGAAAACATGTAGACATGTTCAAGAAGAAAAATTATTTTCATTTTCACAAAAATTTTACTCAACGTTTTACGTGACATTTTTAAAAATGTATCTAATGTGCTCTAAAAAAATATATTTTGTTTTCAATTTTACTTAAATGTCTCTTTAAACCTTAAATTGCATCCAAAACATGTTATGTGACATTTTAAAAATGCACACATTTTCTGGTTACAGAAATAAAATAGAAAATTTATTTATTCTAATTTGTGTGTTTTTCTCAAAATAAAGAGTTTTTTTTTCTTAATGAAATCTATTAATCTAATTGACAATGATGGAACCAAGTATTTAGGAACAAAAACAGCAAAACGAAATTTGCTTTTAAAATTTCCTGAAGTTTTTCTGTCTTACTAATGCATAATGGTTGCATAAATATTTCATTCTTGTTATATATAAATTTTGATGGTTATGTTGAATACTAAACGTGAATTAATGTTTATACTGATGTTTCTTCTTTTGTTTAACTCAGACGTCAATGACGAGAATGACATAACAAAGCTATGACATTTCTGAGACGTCATTATAAATTAAAAGTTTATTAGTACTATGTCGCAGTTTTTCTTTAAAGAAAATCATAGTCGGTTAGAGAATATATATATATAATTACCTGTGATTTTTTTTCATTATATGTTCATGACCAAAATAAAATTTAATGATAGATTTTTAACAAACTCAAAATCTATTAAAAATTTTACTGTCAGACAAATTAATATATTGTACGATAATTTTACCTATTTAAGAATAAATCTACATTGTATGTGACTCCAATTTATCATCAATTAAAATTTTAAATATTTACAAAAAAATTTTATTGTTTACTATGAATTATATTATTTTGCTTACTACATTACATTTATACTAGATTATTTTAAAATTACATTAAAACATAGTTTTATTTTTCATCAGCCTACAATTTACTAAGAAAACTTTCCATTGAAAAAAATAACTACTATTATTAAAAAAAATCCTATAATGATGAGTAAATTAATAAAAATACCCTTATGAATCTAGAATATGAAGAATGATACAAATTTCCAATGATTAGCGAATTCTTAAAAAAAAATTTCTTGATGCTGCTTAGTCAGTTTAATATCATGCAACTGAAATATATGCATGAATTTTTCATAATTATCTTAGGAGTTATTAAAGAGTAAAAAATTCAAAATTATACATAAACATAAACCTAATGAGTTTAATAAGTAATGTTAGTTGTTTTTTTAAAAATTTTAATATCCTTAATAAGTACAATATCTAACTATATTACCATGAATCTCTAATGCTTGTTAAAAGAATACAATGGCTGGAAGTTTGTCAAATGTCCTGACTCCATAACAAATGATAGCCATATTTACGTCGTAAAATGTACAATGTAACAGGAGTCAATAAATAGTAAAAGAATCATTAGTCGATGAAGTACTTAATCTAATACATTATCAATGAATATTCTAAATCTCTTGCTAAACTCAAAAAAATAAAATTGCTCTTGTGAAGAAAAAAAAGAAAAATATTTATTTGATTACTTCTTAGATAATTTACTATCTATAAAATGTGCTTCAAATAACAATGCATTGCAATAGAGCCTTTTCAAAAAAAATCCTATGCAGAAGCAATATTAAGAAGTACAAAATTGGCATTTTTAAATTATTTAATGAGCTGCTCATAATTTTCACATCATAAAAGATACAATATTGCTGTAAAATAATTTTAATCTAAAAGTATTAAAACTTCCTGATATGTTCTTTTGAAATTTAAAACCAACTTTTTGCTGATTATATATATATTTTTTTTTTTTCACTGACTCCCTAAAATGTCACAAAAAAAAAAAAAAACTATCCATAAGAAATATTTCACCAAACAGGACAATCCTAGACTGGTTTAACCATTTGTATCTAGTATTGTATTTAGTATTGTATCTAGTATTGTATCCATTTGTATTGTTTGTGACTTAATGTTTGTCTTCAATATGGTGTTTTCTGTGGAATGAAGTACTCTTTTCTCTGTGCTAAATATAAAAATATTATTTTTTCACGTTTTTATAATTGGATTTTCTACTTTTAGGAAAATTGGTTTTATATGGGGCTTCCAATTCTAGTCTTGTCTCAACTGCCCACAAGTGTAGTATCTGCGACAAAACATTCACTGCTAGTTCTCTTCTTGATATACATTTTCGTACCCACACTGGAGAACGCCCTTACATTTGTGAAGAATGTGGTAAAAGTTTTACTCAAAAAGGAAACCTTAATATACACGTGAAAAGTCACGCTGGAGTTAAAGCATTTGCGTGCAATGTTTGTATGAAAAGATTCTCTTCGAAACAGGGCATGCTGAATCATGCAGCTACTATACATAGTCTTTAATATTAGGCATTTTATTTCTAGTTGTAATTTCTATGCTATGCCTTCATTAAAAAATTGAACTTAAATTGCAGTTGAATCCAGGTGTTCTGAATGGGTTTTTTTCTGTGCAATATTAACATTATTTATTAGAATATTTTATTCTTATTTGATTTTTAGTGATGCTTGTCAACCAACAATCTTGACTTTTTCAAACAGTTCTAATCTTTCTTTCTTGTATTGTATGTGGAATAATTTTTTTTACCCCCTTTCTTTTCCTGTAAATCATTTGAACTCAATATGTATTCTATTTAGAATTTTTCAATAAAAGAATAACTGGTTTTCATCTAGAACTTTGCTGATTCAACTTGTGATTTAAATTTTTTGTGTGCAATATTTTCACTTTTATTTGTTTTTGTCTGGATAGTTATATTTTCTCTTTTTGTATATATTTGTGCTTATAATAGTTATCTTTAATATTTTTATCAGAAAACTTTCATTCTAATTTCATCTTTTGTTGATTTTGATTATCATACATCAGAATGTTTTGAATTTATCTTTCTTTCTTATTCCTTTTTTATAAATATTTTTTTTTTTTGCAAATAAATGATTTTTTGCATATTATACAAAGATATTTGCTTTTACATTATAGCCATTTTAGTGTTAATGTTATTTTATAAGTATCATTATTTGTGACAATGCATAAAAAAGCATATTGCATTTCATATGTTATAAAAATGGCCTCAAAATTTGGTGACCAAAAAATAAAGTATTATGATAAACTTAATGAACTCTAAAAAAAAAAATAATAAATTTGGAAAATACTATTACAACATTACATTATATTTTAAATGTCTATATGAATTGTAATTTTACATGTTTTTCTGTACATTTAAATTTTATTTTTTGTGAAGTTATATTTATTTATTCAAAATTGTAACATCTAAATTCAGCAGAAATGTTTTAATTCTATTTCAAAGTTGTTTATTAAATATTAGTTTCGTAATTATGTATATACTGCAGGAAAAGAATTGCTTTTTTTTAATGAATCTTATTACATAATTAATGCATGGAAACTTTTTAATTAGTCAAAAACTTTGTTGTTATTACATATTTGCAAGATGTTCTCTAATGACTACTCTTTTTACATACATATATTTCTAAAAACATTGTCGAAAATGAAGTAAAACATGTAAACGCATTAAGTATTGAGAGATTAATATTTAAACCAGTAAAAATGCTACCAAAATCTGTATAATCACTAATGAAAAAGCTGGATGAAAAACATCAATTAGTAAGATTTCTTAAAAATGACGTTAAGGATTGGCATTGCCTTAATACTTGTTTAAAAATTAGTTTTTATTTTTCTATTGATATTTTCTCTTTCTTTTTTTAGCGAATTTTAATACAAGGAAGGTTTTGCACTCTAATTTTGGTGACCACTATTTCAAATGTGATACCTGTGGAAAATTGTTTACCTCCATGGCCAATCTTAAGCGTCATATTCTTACCCATACAGGGAAACGCCCATATAGGTGTACACAATGTGGCAAACATTTCTCTCAGAAAGGAAATCTTAATTCACACATGAAAATACACACTGGTGTAAGGCCATTTGCTTGTGATGTTTGTATGAAACGTTTTACTACAAAAAGAAATATGTTATGTCATGCTTATAAGCATAATTTATCATAGCTTTTGTAACATAATTGTTTTGTAAAAAAAATTTCCTTTACTATGGAATCTATTGAAAAGGGTTGTTAAAACTTTCCACCTTTCTTATATAATTTCTTATTCTGAAGTGATGTATTCTAGTCTCGTTTGCTTTGTGTTGCAACCACATTATGTTGTCTGTTGAATTGCAAAAGTGTGATAATATCAAATATTAACTAACTGAAGCTTAAAATGTGATAGTTACAGCAAATGTATTATCCAAAATGCATCTAATATTTGTTTTACAGATTAATTAGATAAGAACTATGTTATGTCTTAAACATGCGCTAAGTTATCTCTCTAACTTACCGCATGTTAAAGACATTACATAGTTTTTATCTAATGGATATGTAAAACAAATATTAGATGCATTTTGATGTAAATATATTGCCATAAAGATCTTAAGTAAAATTGTGTTTTTTATTCACTATTATGCTTCATTAAGGTTAATAACTTTTATTACTATTTTAATTGTAAAATATGCTTGTATATTGTATATAAGGCTATGTGTATCAATTGCTGTCAAGGTCACAAAGGAAAAAATAAAATTTGGATGTGAAGGAGTTAATTATTTATTGGTTTATCTAATTAATCATTCATTGGTTCTCTTTTTATGTGAGAAAGCATTTAGCAGGGTTCTGACAGATCAGTGAAAACGAAGAAATTCTGGAATTGTAAGGGACTCTAATTTCGGTTTAATTTGGTTTCTCAAACTTAAGAAAGTTTCTGTGGCAGAGGTTCCTAAATTCCAAGCCATCGCACCCAGTGTTCTGTAGTGTGTCAAGAACCAAGAATCGTGGGGTACAAAGGCATTCACTGATTAACATAAATTACATTTATTTTGGAATATGGGACTTCTTTTTTATAAGATTAAAAAATTACGTTTTGATTTGATTTACAATTTTCTGTGAGTTGAAGCATGTGTTAATCCACTTTGTTTTTGACCAACAATAAGGCAAAGCAAATATCACTAATTTAAGTTCGGAAATATCAACAAGTTCAGATTCATTTTGGGTCAGATGGTCAAAAGAATGTTTGGTAGATTTAAAAAGTTATCATGAAGTTAGACACATAAGAAAACTTCTTAAGATGAAAGAGGCAAATGTATTACTTTTTGAGCTAGAGTTTTGTCTTTGCTGAATGTGGAGGAAAGCTCTTGTTCTCATACTAATACCTGAGGGAGACGGGACTATTAGAACTGTGCATTTGAGGTGCAGGAAAAAGTTCTTGTCACGTCCTCTACAATTGGTCATTACCTTGGAGATGAGGGTGGCGAGGATGTCGAGAACCAAGCATTGTAGGATCGCATATTGCATCGATGACTTTGCTTATTTTGGAATGTGCGGCTGTTCTTTTAACTTTTTTATAAAACTAAGAAATTACGTTTTGCATGTTGTAATGCGTTTTCATTATATTGTTTTTTATGTTTAATAAATGTTATGAAACATAACATCATAAACATAATTCTATGTCATGAAATTCTACTTAATTCAGTGGCATCTGTGACGAAATTGGCACAAAAGCGTGTCATTCTGAGATGTCACTGTCAATAATATTTTATTTAACATGTCTATTTTAATGTGAGTATTTTTAAAATGTTGATATATATTTTGATTTTAAAACGCTAGTTAAAATGATTTTCTTAACCTCTGTTAGTTTGCAATTATTGAAACAATTCTTTTGAATTGGAATTTTGTTTTCTGGCTAAAATAGGTTCTGTTTATTTTTAAAAATACTGTTATAATATTATTAGATCTTTATTATGGTGATTGCTGAACTTGTATATTTTTTATGGTATATTCTTACTTGTATATTCCATTTTTATGATTTTAATTTTTTGTTTTGGTACAAATATTGTTTCAGTTCTTCGAACTGGAATTTTACTTTTAAAATGTACATAATCCCTTTGGAATCTGTACATTTTAACTTACAACATACCATACATAATTTACTAATTAACAGAAAATTTACTAATCTGTTAATTGGTAAATTAGCAGATTCTATCAAATGAAGAAATACATTAAATAAACGGATTCTAAAAATTTCTTTTTTAAAATTGTAGTAGCCTGAAATATGCAATGAATCATTTTGATATTTTAAAATTCTTATTATAATGTTTATTTTTCTATCGTTTAATGAGACTTTTTTTTTCCTTCTAGATTCCAATTGGGACTGAGTCATTTATTAGGTTTTTCTAAATTTCAATTTTTATTTCTTTTGATTTAACATGCATTTCTTAAAATATCAAAAACTATTTTGACTGATATTTATTTTATTTTAAACTATTTTTTTATCCTATTTTTCATTTTCTAATCACAGCACAGTTTTTAAACAAGATGTTAAGACCTGCAAAACAAATTGAGATATTTTTTTCTGGAGAATCCAAATAGACTATAAAAAAGTGGGGTTCCTTTTAAGATTTTGTGTATGATTTAGTGTGTCTCTTGAACATATTTCACAGAGGAATTTTTAGCTATTTCTGTTACATATATTTGAACTTTTTTGATCCCTGTATATAAAGATTTAAAATTCTATTTTTAAATATTGTAAATCCTGTATATAATGATTGCAAAATAATTGTGCATTCAATTAGTTAAATATGTTTAATATTCTTATTTTGATGCTTGCTTTTTTCTAGAAATTGGAGATGTTACGAATTCTATTTTCCGCACCTTTCTTAATGTGAACTCTTTTCACTCGTGTAATATCTGTGGCAAGGTATTTCCTTCCAAAGGTGCCCTCATACTGCATTCTCGAACACATACTGGTGAACAGCCTTACAAATGTGAAGAATGCGGAAAAAACTTCTCTCAAATTGGAAATCTTAAAACGCACATGAGGAGTCATCGTGGAGTGAAGCCATTTATGTGCAGCATTTGTATGAAAAGCTTTACCACAAAGCAGCGTTTATTATCTCATACAGCTTCTATACATAATCCAGAACTGTAATAATAGTCAATGCTAGCTCACTAAATATTTTTCAGATATGTATGTCGTAATTTAAATATTGTCTTAATATTTTTAAGCTTGTTTTTGTGATACTATTCATTTCCTTTGTATGTTTTTGTGAGTTAATGGAATTAAATTGATTTAAAAATTGTTATGTATTAATCCCCAAATAATTTTTTCTTGTCCTTTCAATTAAACTACTTTGTTTTTTTGAAAAAATTTTTACTCTGAAAACGACTGAATATTAAAGTAAAATTGTGATTGATTCTTACTACATCTGATTAAGTTAATTACAAGGGTTACAGCACAGAACTGTCAATATTTAAAGCTAGGGGTTCAATCTCCAGTAGCGCCTTGAAGCCCTGCCTGCTTGAGATCAATGGGTGCCACCTTGTATGGAAAGTAAAGGTGGCCTGTGCGCAATACTGGCCACATTTTCATAAACTTGGTGTTGGTCATAAAATTGTGGAACTTTAACCTCTCTGACCCCCGCGGTTTACAATGAGGTGTTCTAGGAATGTTTTTTGTTTTTACTCACTACCTCTAAATAATACATGATATTATAAATGTAACTTTCATTATGAGAATCACTGCCTATTGTGGTTGCCCATATGGAAAATAGACATCTATTCTGTATAACCAGTTTCTTTTTTTAATACAATAGGTTCCTGTGTATCTGGTTCGTGACCATCTACTTTTCCTTATTATCTGGTTAAATAAATTATTAAGAGTGTTAAAACCTGCTATTTGTAACATCAAATGCTTATGTGGCGCAAAAAGTTATTTGGCTGCTTTTTCTGGTTAGGTCTGAATGCTTGTTTTTGAAAATGTGCAAAATCGACGATGTACGAAAAAATATAAAAAGATTATGTTGAAGTGGTTAAATGTGATCTTTTTTAGTAAAACTGTTTTTGTATTTTGTTGAAATCAATTGAAAAAAAGAACTCTTGAGAATTTACATATGTATTTTTATTCATTAACATAAAAATGTTTCACAAGCAAAAATTTTCAACTAATGACTTTTACTTTCTCTAATTAACACTTACGTTGCTTTCTTCATTTTAGAGTTCAGTGATGTTTCAGTTTTTGATTTTGGTTCTGTTCCTAAAGGTAGTACTCATCATCCGTGTAATATCTGTGGCAAGCAATTCCGTTCCAACTACAGCCTCAGTGTGCATGTTCGGTCTCACACCGGGGAGAGACCTTTTAGTTGCAAAGAATGTGGCAAAAGTTTCTCCCAAATGGGGAATCTTAAAACACACGTGAAGTGCCATCAAGGATTGAAACCATTTACATGTTGCTTTTGCAAGAAACAGTTCACTAGAAAGGAGCATATGCTGTCTCACTTACTTTCTTTTCATAAAAACTAATACATTATCTTCACTTTCAGATCTGTAAATGCTTTATTTTCATAGTAATACCCTTTTATTTTCATAAAACTGTTTAGAAGTCCCTGATTTTTCACAATGTATAATTATTTTTTATAGATTTGTTTTATGATTAATTATTTCTATTTAGGTTATTTGCAAGAATTGATACCAAAATGCAGGAAAAGAAAAAATCAGGAAAATGTCCGAGAAATCTTTTTTTGTTTTGTTTTTAAATTGATCTTTTAATAACTATTTTTTTAAAAAAAAATTATTATTGACTCCCATAGCAAGTATAAATATTTTGTAACATATTTTGTGTGTGAGAAAAAAGTATAACTTAAAAATTTATAGTAAAATTTGTTCCACCGTTACAAAAAAATTGAAGATATTTGTTAAAATCAGTCTGAAGAAGCTCAAGGACTTTTTAATGAGTATCCGTTGCCGCTTTTAAGTGTTTTTGATTAAAAAAAGTTACACTAATTAAGGCATGTTTATTCAAAAAAAAAGTGTCTGAGATTTTGTAACTTAAATTATGTCTGTGTTTATTAACGCACCTTACGTAAGCTATGTTAACCATAAAAAATTCCTCAAACCATTAAAAATGTGACTTAATGCCCTAAAATCTAATCATTGGATCAAAAGTTGTCCTGGTTATCATATTTATATTTTCATCTTGATATATCACTGCATTCAATCCTCAAACTTTTCCCAGAAAATAATTTGCTAGTGCTAGAGTTTATTTTCTAGTCTTTGTAATGAATCGATGGAACTTCAATTCACTCATATGATATGAATTGACAGTTTTAATAAGTTCTAGAAACTATTAATCCCCTGACAAATCAAAAATTTTAAAACACTATTTCTGCTCTTATAAAAGTGATTAATTCCATAAGATCTAGAGATATTTAATGATTTTACCTCATGGAAATCGGTTAGTCTTCAACAATTGAGCTTCCTTAATAATTTTACCCCATGGAAGGAAGAGCTGCATTTACAATTAAGAGAAAAAAATTCCTAAGATTTCTTTTCAATATAATAATTGCACTATATTTGTTTGAATTACTGAAAATTGTTATTACTGTAAATGTTTATATGGTGTTTAACTTCATTAAATAAGTGCCTCTTACACACAAAGAATTTTTTAAATGTTTTTTTTTTTTTTAATCTATCTTGTTATATTAAGAAATTTATTCACTTAAACTCTTGAAAATATATATTGTGATTTTGTCTTTATTTATATTAACCTTTTTAAGGTAGTTTTTGCCTAACTTTAACAAAGAAAACTTTGTTTGCTTTTTATATAACAAATTCCTTAAATTTTAGTGTCAACTCTATGTTAAGGTTTTCTTTGCAGGAGGGAAATGGGTCTGAAATATTAAACTTGCTTACTTGAAAAAAAAGATTATTTAGTTAGTTTAGTGCATCAATTGAAACAAAAAAATTTGTTAATAATAAGTGTATTCCTGATTGTGACTTGAAGTCTTCTCAGCTTTAGATCAATGGGTAGCAGCTTCTTTGATAAGTAAAAAAGTTTGCAAGTGTGCAGTACTGACCACATTGTCACCATCAAACCATTGATCACTAAATTATGGAGGCTTAATCACCGTATTTTCCTGGTCCGCAGTGGGCTGTTGCAAAAATTCTTTCATTTCTAATAATAAGTGTTATAAAACTATCACGTTAAATGCTAAAAATTAAGTTCAATGTTTTACCTAAATTATGTATTCTATGTATAAACAATCTTGTATATAACTTTGTTACATTTTGTCCTTTTAAGTTTATTTAAGCATGCATTAATGCAGTAACCATTTTGGGTTTTGTGTTGCACTGTCCAACTATCACAAGAATTCTTCCAGTGCTGGTAGTTACCATGATTATGAAGGTAAATCACTTTTTATAGGGTTGTGGGGAAAACTGTTTCACATTAGTTTAGATTAAAAGAGACCTGTCATTACTCTTCCACTAGAAATTTTTTTATTATTGATACCATAGCAGTGGACAACCTCTGAGTTTTCAGTTGGGAGGAGTTCTTGTGATAGCTGGACAATACAAACTTTATTAAATTTTTTTTCTTCTTTCTTTTATGTAACCTATTATATGCCATGCCTCTCAGGTTTTTTTTAAGTATTTTTGGGCTTTAAAAAAATCAATTTGTTTACTAAAAATACATTAACTTTTTTGAGTTGTACATAGTATTAGCTCTATTACTTTATTTTATGTGATGATATCCTGACCCTTTTAGCTTATTATAGCTTTTGTACTTAATAAAATCTATTATATAAGATTATGCTCACTTATGTCTGAAAAATAGGCATAATTCAATGATATCCTAATCTCTTGCTCATACTTTCTTATACCATTAAAATATTATTTTATTATAATACTCATTTTGTCTTATATTTTTAAAAAAATGTGTTTGTATAAATCAGTTATCTCAAATCTTAAAAAAAAGACATGGCTCCCTTATAAAAATGTGTGGAATGATGAAAGTTATATATATATATTGAACGTTGTTTATTAAGTTAATAAATTGAATATCGAATTGCTTTTAATTTTGTTAATGAAACCTCATTTCTTTTGTTTGATTTATTCTGATTATTTGGAAAGAAAGATATTTGCGTATTCAATCAAAAACATTGCTAGTTAACATAGCTATATAAAATTATTTTGAAGAACATTGCATTTTTTTTTTCCAATTTGTGAATAGGAATAAGCCCTTGTGATAAATGATATTTTTTAAATTTGGAAAGAAACCCTGATTTTTTTACTTGAGTTTAAATAATTTTTTTGATAATTAAATTCGAAGATTTTAGAACATTATGCTTTTATACATTCTGATTATTAATTTTTTTCATAGCTAATTATATAAGATAAATTTTATTTCTTGAAAAAGTGTTCAATTGTTTCTTTTCCAGTTATTATTTTAATGGAGTGTACTACAAAAACTTGTATTTTTTTCCTAAGAAAATTTTTTGTTTCAGAAAGGCATTGATTACAATACAAAATTAACATCCTTTATATGCATTTAAGCATAGTAGCGCCAATTGTTTTAGTCATCATTAATACAGATCACTGTTAAATTTTTTTTATTTTAACGTTATAACATGCTTATATGGTGACTGACCAAGCTGTACAAAATACTGGCCAATTGCACAAATTCTTTTATTGCAATTTTTGTGTAGTTATCTGAGATTTTGCAATCATGGTGTTTAAAAAAATTATATAATTTTTTTTGATATTTTCCTTAAATTAGTTGTTACTAAACAAAAGAAAAATTACTAATATAAAATTATGTAATAAATTACTTATCCTTGCTATATTAAAAAAATGTTTTTTATGTTTTGTTTATTTTCATTTACACTTTCAGTGATGCAATAAAAAATTTTCTCTTTATGGTATTTTTATTTTACATTCTACAGTATTTCTTTAACTTTTAAAGACTTATTATTAGTAGTATTGGGTAATTTTTTAAATAAAATTTTTCTGTTATTTTTACTTTTATTATTGTCACTCTTAATATCCCTACAATATTGTTTTTACCATGTGTTTTCCCTACTTAATATTCTTTTCAAATTTTCATGAAAATTGAATCTTGATTTTTTTTTCTTTTTTTTTAATGTGCATCTTTAAATACAATTATGTATATATTCAGGAAAGAGATGTTTGAAATTAAAATTCTTATTTTAATAAAGGATTTTTTTTCTATTTTTAAGCCTTTTTTTATCTATTTGATGACTAGAACTAGCTATTTTTAAGATCATTTGTTTCTTTTTCTTTTAACAAGTTACCTTATATTCAAAACCTATATATAAACTGACATAATCTATTTCATAGGATGCTCTCAACCTCCCGTGTGGGCTATCCAATTATCTTATTTTATCTGTTTACCTTTGTTCAGAAATTAAAAAAAAAACATTGAAAGTCCTGCTGATTCTTTCCTTCCCACTTTCTCTGCTATCTTCTTTTTTAAGTCTTTCAAGTTACCAGTCCAAATTAATGCCAGCAACAATTCAACTTGCTTAAAAGTTTACATAAGTCAGACACTGGCAGTAAGTGCTATATGAATTCTGAAGGTTACATGTTTAACTTTTTCTGTTTGCTTGCTGTTCTATTTGTTCGTTGTTTTATACGAAAAACTGAGCTATAAAAGATAATCTTATTAAATAACTTTTCCTTTCCAACTGTTATTTTTAGATATTTTATTTTCAACCTGTTATATTAACTATTTGTATGTTTTGCTTGTGCTGTTTTGTGATTTTGAGGGATCTATCACTAATACCTGACCAGCATGGAAGCATTTTTGTCGGCACTGATCGGGTTGAGGTTTGCAAAGATTCCGATCATAGCCGACCATCACACTTCCACTTGCAATCATTTCTCTGCCTATGTAACAAAATATGCAGCATATTTATTTAAGAAGTATACTTTATGGCTTATCGGAGAATTTTAGTCATGTAATTTTTTAGTATTGTAATTAAATCAAGTAGTATCTGAAGATGAAGAAATTTTGTGTTCTTTAACCGACTAGCGGTTTAGCAAATGGGTAAAAATGAGGGAATGTTTCTCCCCAATTTTGTGCTACCCCAATGCACTATTTCCCCATCTAATAACATTGAAAAACTGGGTTTTCTACGCAGGGAAGACTGCAGGTTAAAATACCACTTTTTACGTACAGAACCGTCAGTGATTAAAAAAAGTCTTATAAAGAAGAGACAACTTGCTAACTCATCAATATCTTTGTGCTTATGTTACAACTTTTAGTTATTTACCTTATAATTTATCTTTACTCTAACTTAAATTACATATATTCTAAAAAATTGTATCACATGCTACTTGAGTGCATATTTTTTTTAAATTGTTACAGGGTCACATATCTGGTTTTTAGAGCAACTATTATTATGCCTATTAAAAATCGCTTAATGAATGTTATAAGACAATTATTTTAGGTTTAGCATTTTGTCTAAATGATGTCAATGATGAAAATTTTTAAAAGA